TGAAGCTTTTGAAAGGTTCAAGATTTTTAAGTCAAGAGTAGAAGATCAACTCAACTTGAAAATTAAGAGGTTCAGGCGTGATAGAGGAGGAGAGTACACAATGACAGGGTTTAAGGAATTTTGCATTTCAGAGGGCATAATAGTTGAAATCACTGCTCCTTACTCATCCCAATTAAATGGTGTTGTCGAGCGCAAAAATATGACATTAACTAACATGTTAAACTCTATGATACTTACAGGTGGCATGCCTTCCTCCTATTCAGGAGAAGCAATTATGGCTGCCAATCACATCCTGAACAGGTTGCCGTACTCTAAGTTGTCACTGATACCTTGTGAGATATGAAATAAGCGTTCTTGTAGATATGATAGTCATAAGAATTGGGGATGTATTGCTTATGTAAGAGTACAAGATCCTAAGAGACCTAAGGTGGGACCTAGAACCATTACTTGTGTATATCTAGGAAGTGAAGAAGACAGTGCTGTAAATAGGTATTTGGATCTATCTACAAATGTTGTGATATAATCTAGAGATGTATAATTCTGGATCTACAAATATGATTTTAGAATCTCCTATTGAATTTGAAGCAAGCCTTTTTGACACTAACCCCACACAACTAGATGTTAAATCAGTTCCAGATATAGTATGTACGAGAGAGAGTTCTTAAAGACTTTGGCAAGGACTTTGTCACTTACCATCTAGAGGATGATCCATTCTTCTATTAGGAAGCAATGAGATCTAGGAAATCTCTACTGTGGGCATAAGCCATAAATGATGAAATGAGCTCACTGCTACAGAATCATACTTGATAGTTAGTCAATTTGCCAAAAGGGGCTAAGGTTATAGGCTGTAAGTGGTTAGTGAAGAAGAAACTGAATAGTGATGGATTGATAGCTAGATACAAGCATGTTTAGTAGCTAAATGCTATAGACAACAAAATAGAGTAGACTAGTTTGATGTTTACTCACATGTGTGCCATCTATCAACTATAAGATTCTTCTTGCTTTGGCATCTATTGAACACTATATAGTGCATTAAATGGATGTAAAGACGACTTTCCTAAATAGAAAGTTAAGTGAGGAAATATACATGGAACAACCGGAAGGGTTTGTCATGAAAGGTCTTGAGGACAAAGTTTGTTAATTAAACAAATCCTTGTATGGTCTTAAGCAAGCACTTAAGATGTGGCATCTTAACTTTGACAAAGTGGTAAAGAGTTATAAATTTCAGTCTAGTTACTTAGAAAAATGCTTTTACCGTTGTTTTATGTCAAATAAGATAGTCATCATTTGCTTGTATATGGATGACATGTAAATTCTTGGCTCCGATCATTCTGTAGTGAGTGACATGAAAACTGATTTAGCTAAAGAATTTGATATGAAAGATCTTAGTATTGCTAATACCATTCTTGGTATGAAAGTAAGCTTTGAAAGGCAAGCAATCTCCCTTAGCCAGACTTATTATATTGAACAACTACTTTCTGTCTGGGGATACAGTGAGTGCAAACTGAGAAAAACGCCATGTGATTATAATAAAAAACCAATCCTCATGAAAGGACCAACATGGATCAATTAAAGTATTCAAAATTGATTTGTAGTTTTATGTATGTTGCAAGTTGCACTAGACCTGACATAGCCTTTACAATTGACATGTTGAGTCGTTTCACTAGTAATCCTACTAAAGAGCATTGTGAAGCCCTCGATAGGCTGATGAGATACCTCAAAGGTACTAAAGATTATGCTCTACACAACTCTGGTTATCCTTCAATTGTGGATGGATATTCTGATGTATCATGGTGCTGAGAAAATAGGAAATAGCAAGTCCACTAGTGGATATGTATTCACTTTGGGTGGAGCTGCTATTACTTGGAAATCCAAAAGATATACTTGTATTGCATTGTCGTCTATGGAATCAGAATATTTTTCTTTAGCCTCAGCCGCGAAGAGGCATAGTGGATAAAGAATCTAATTAAGGATATTCCTTTGACTCGGCTAAAGATTAATTCTTTAAACATGTTCTGTGATAATCAAACTGATGTCCAAGTTGTTAAAAATGCTCTCTTTAATTCAAAGAGAATACATGTGAAACTGAGACATGCATTGTTAAATTATCTAATAGAACAAGGAGTTATCAACCTGATCGATGTGAGATCAAAGGATAACTTGGTCGATGCTCTCACAAAAGATATGCCTAAAGATCGATTATTCAAAACAGTGGGGGAAATGGGGTTAAAGGCTATGCAGACAAGTCTCAATTACCATTTACTTACCTTCTAATTATGTGTTTTGAATTATCAAATCTTCCTTTTGTTGGCCAAAATGATAAGCACAGTTTATATATTTCGTCGATGTTCATGGTTGCTGATTAATTTGAAAATGGTAAGTTATCTCATTCCAAACTTGAACCTAATTCAAAGGTTCTACTAGAAAACTTTTGTCATTCCAAACTTGATGATACAATTCAACCAGGTTGGGCCATCCTTTTGATTAAATGATCTCATTCCAAACTTGATGCTAAATTATTTGACTTTGAGGAATTAGTAATTATTACATTCCACATTGAAACATTGAAATAGTTGTTTGCATAAGAAGCATGTGAGTCTTGTTCTTAATTGAAACTTGGCATCACATGACTAGGTTATTGTAAGTGATTTGATTGTTGGTCCTGTTCATTGAAACTAGACAATGGTTATTCTTTTACAAATAAACTTAAGTTGATGGTTCTTTGCAAATCAAATTGTTTAGGTCTTAATCATAATTTATGAAATTGGCTTGATGCTTATGAACATAATATTGTGATGATTTATGACATTAATATATGTTCTTCTTTGCATGATGATATGATGCTGAGTTCTTTTAGTAGAACTAGATATCTTTGATGGATTATTCAACTGATTGAATTCATGATACTATGAAATTCATATTTGATATTCTATAGAGAATGACAGAGATGGAGGAGAGCTTGACAGTTCACTCGTTATTGTCCATTTTGATGGAGATAATTTATTTGAGACTTACATTTTGCTATCTTTATTTTATGAATATTGTTAATTGTGAACTGATTTTGAGACTTATTTTGGGTGTTGGGATTTGGATGAGTTTAGATTGAATCTAAAACTCTAAATATTTATTTTGGTATAATGGTCTCATAACATATTCATGACAATGATGGTTTATTTATTTTGACTGCAAATGATGATTGAGTTCAATATCTTACTGTTAAAACTCTTTGAATGATCCGAGTTAATTGTCTTGGACTGGATATGAATGATTCATGTTTGTTTGAACGTTACATTGATCACTCTATTGATTGTGTTGTATGGTGAACATAGGAGGAGATTCTTGGAAATATTAATAATATAGTCCAATAGTATGCTCACATACAAGCGCAATAGGTCAAAGCATGGTTATTTGGGTTCACATAGTTTGGAGCCCAATAGCTTGCATTATCTTTAGGATTTCCTAAGCTAAAGATAACACTGTTGAGCATTCCAAACTTGATGTCTCTTGGTTTAATACTTCAAGCACTTCAAAATCCTTCTCTCTCAAACTCATTACCTCCAACAGTGAAACCGTATTTATTTGCATTCTTTGGGAATAATATTTATTTATTTTTGGTATATCGATCCTAATTATTTTTTTATGGCGAGTCAGCCTCCTGTATCTTCACAAACTTCGACTCTTTGAGTCGACTATGAGACTAATCTCAAGTCGGAGTTTAATCACAATTAAAGTGTTATAATATTTTTTTTATAATCATAATAATTACAACAGACCATTACAATATTTGAAATTTACGCAATCTCACAAAAATATCAAGCATTAGAAATTAGGGTGGGGCAGCTCCTCTGCTGTGGTTAGAGAGGTCATGGCTCCCTGATATTTTTGAAAAACTTATCTTGGACATTTTTTTTTTTTTTTCTTCACTAAGAACTAACAGGTTATATTTTTAATAAAAAATACTTTGAGTAGCTCTGATACTTAGAGTTAACTTTAGACGCAAACAGAACAGAAAGTCTCTGGTACTTAGAGCAGCTCTATTTTTTATAATTAAAAATAAAATTGTCCATCTAATAATAAGGCTTTGAAATTATTTTAACAGAACTATTGGCGTTTATAACACAATAACACATTAAAAGTGTGTTTATTTTATGTTAAAAAGTTAACTATTGAAAAAACAATACTTACAAACTCTAGATACTAACACTATTTAAAAAAGTTACTATTCTTTTCAAAAGATGGCCGGATGAGTCATTTTCACAACTTTTAACGAGCAAAAGCTGCAGGGCATGTTTGATTATTGTGTTCGAAAATAATTTTTTGATTTTTAAAATAAAAAAAATCGTTTTATAAAGTTTATTTTGTCAAAATAATTCTAAAAATTATAATTATTTTTAAATTTTTATAATTAAATTTAAAAAACATAACTGATTTATTTTTATTTTATATTTTAATTTTTAATTAAAAAAAACACATATTTCATTAACTATTCTACAAAATAATTTTAAGAAAAAAAGAAAGAACACAATCAAACACGGTCATAGTTTTCGTGTTTCCATTCTTTTTCAGCACATGCACTCCTTTCCTTTATTAATTATAAGTAGAGGTGGTAAAGCGGGTTGTCCAGTCCGCCAAAAGCCCGTCAAAAAATGGGTTGGCCTGCCCCTCCCTGCCTTCGAAGATGGGCTAAATATCTCAGCCCGCCCTGCCCCGTTTGGACGGGCGGGGTCAAGCCAGTGAGATTTTACACTTAAAATTTAAAAAAAAAAAAAAAAATCAGCCCAGACAAGCTGGCTGGCTTGGGGGACAGCGAGTTTAAGAAATTCAGTCTGCCAAACGGGACGGGGCTGGCCGGCCCGGCGGGCTCGGCCCATTTTGACAGCTGTAATTATAAGCCCTCTCCTCTCCTCTTCTTTAGAAGCAGCATCTCCTTCTTTGGCCAGAAATCACAAACCCAGTTGATAGAATCTGGCTACAGTTTCACATTGTTCCTAATCCAAGTAATGGAGCAGAACCCGTGGGGGAAATGGTCTTCCGATTTGGTAATAAACAATGGCAATTTTATATCATTTTTAATATTATTATTCTGTAAAGTATGATGATATTATATTATTATATATATACAATATATGATCTTCACAAACTATATGTTAAAGTATGATTTCATTAATTATTGTTTTGAATTTGTTCCGTCCTAGGAAACTGATGATCATGTCAATGAGTGTTTACGCCACACGAATAATCCTTTTGATGAAGAGTTCCTCAGAGATATTCTGCAACAGCCACAAGAGGCCACTGGTCCTGTTGTCAATACCATTGGTGCTAGTGCTAGTGAAAGTGTTGGCAACCTCATGATCAAGAATAACTCATCAATCAATATGTGTCAACATGTTGCACAAAAACCAACAACATATATACTGTCTTTTGATAAATCCACTGCATTGTTACCAAATGACAATGATTCTTGCTCTGTTTGGAAAGATGTTTCCCAATCTCAATTGGGAAATCACAACACAGATTCTTTGCCTTTGTCGTCATCAAAGGAAAATCCAGGAACCAAGAAGACTCGAAACGCTTCTGAGACACTAGATCACATAATGTCAGAGAGACAAAGGAGAAGGGAACTCACAAGGAAGTTCATAGCACTTTCAGCCACTATTCCTGGCTTGAAGAAGGTCACTCTCTCTTTTACTCAAATCATGTGCATGCTATGCTATTAGTATTAATCATATTAAACTATCAACTTTTTTTTCTTTTTTTCTTTTTTTTCCTGAAATCGATTGTGGGATGATGCTATTCTAACTGGCTGCAAAATCCAAGCATGATCATCTGTTCATCACTAAATACTACATTATACATTAATGCATTTTATACACATGTAATTATATGAAATTCACACGAGCCCAAAAGGTTGATTTAATTGGTAGGATTAAATTGCATAGATCTAAAAATCAAGAGCATGATTCAGACTAATGATATTGTAACCAATGATTGTAATAAGTAATAACCAAATAAGAACTGTGCAATCCCTTATTCATACTAAAGATTCTTTATTTAGGTTTTAGTGCTTCAGTAACCAAATAAGAATTAATTCTTTAATGGGTAAAAATTAAAAAGATCAAAACGTAAATGAGTAATTGATCCTCACCCCCATCTAAAAATAGAAAACGAGAGGAATTGAGAGGGAATTATAAATATATATATATATATATATATATATATATATATATATATATATATATTAAATGGAACTATTTTTTTATTTTGAAAAAAAGACCATCCAATTATTGGTGATCCTGTAATACTAGATTTTTCTCCAATAATAGATACAAAAACTTCAGTAAAAAGATAGAAAATCGAAATGGGTAAAATACAAAAACTTCATGAAAGGAAAGAGTGGATCCTCTTATGTGAAAAGTGATCATGTGATCATATTATTTGATCATAATCATTCATTAATGATGAAATAAGAGAGAGAAAAGTGTATAATTTTTAAATAAGTGATTGTGATCAAATAATGTGACTAAATGATCACTTTTCACGTGAGAAGACCCGTTCTCATAGAAGGGTTAGAGTGTTAAACCGCCCCTTCAAGCTGATAGTGACCTTTATTTTAGGTTTTATTCAAAAAAAAGAAAAGGATAGCGTGACATAAGCTCGTCCCTCCCAAATATTCTGACCATGTCTTGATTAGTTATCGTTTTACTTTGCCTGTGTTGTGAGAATTTTATTCTTTTGTCTCTTCGCACAAAATTTGTTGGCTCCACCATTGCTTATGAGAAAATAATGAATACTGAATTGGAGTATTGTGGATAGACAGGATGAGAATATAAAGCTAACAAGAACTAATGGATAATAAAATAAGGAAAATGTTATATTTATAAAAATTTTGTTTACAAACTACACTAAGTATAACTGATCATACTTTCTTGAAGTATGACCGATCATACTTTCTTGAAGGATGACCGGTCATGCTTAGTGTAATTTGTAAAAAACAAAATTGTAAACAGATCCTTCTACATAAAATAAATGAAAAAGATGAATTTTGAACAAATATTAAGTGATTTTTAACCAAAACAGAATATGGATCCATTTAGATGAACTTATAAAAAAAAAAGACTTTTCATGCTTTTCTTGTTTTAGAAGTATTTTTTTATAAAAATTAAAACAATTTAGATTTTGAAAGATATATGTTTTTTGAAAAAAAAAATATTTAATTTTTAACTTCTGTTTTTTTTAGAAGCTACAGTTTTTAGCTTAAAACAAGAGAGAGTAATTTTTATTTTTATTTTGTAATGGGGAGAGGAGAGTGAGTAAATTTTTGACTTTTTGTGACTTGTGTTCTTTTTTTAAAGCAGACAACCAAACAAACTTTGTAGTGAGAAGTGCTATCTTTTTAAAAAAAAAAAAATTGGAGAAGAAAAAAAGATCATCTAAACAAGTCCTATATCAAGTAGGTCTATTATTTTCATCAAAAATAAAAAATTAGGGGATAAAATAAATGAAAATAAATACTTTAAGAATCGTTTTGGATAATTCATAGTTTAGAAATTAAAAAATTTCCATTGATTGATTGACGTTTCAACATATCAAATCATTTTACGAGTTAAAAACCAAACTAACAATCCATATTTAGTTTATAAAGATTAAAGTTTTTTATTTTTTATTGAATAGTACTAAAGTCCTACATATAAGTTATACACTAAATTTTTATGTAAAAAGTTATTTCACATTTAGTTTATTCTGAATAAATATTTTTTGAGATTATGATCCAATGATATTAAAGATGAGTATGTAAGGTAGGCAAAAAAAAAAAGTAGAATAACCTATTCTATATTTTCAAAGTGATCTAAAAACTAAATGTAGTAGCCTTAATGGATAACGACATGGTATCAATACTTCAAAAAATAATCCCAAATTCAGGAGGGGAAATAAAAATACCAAAAAACTAATTTATTATGGATGTGTGTCACGGTGAAGGAACACTGAAGAGGAGGACTGGGGCTCCTTTTTGGGCCAAAGATTACATTGTGTAATCAGCCCATTATCCAAGTGTCCATGTCCAAGAGGAATTGACCCAACTTTAGTATTGATACTTATTAGGAGTGAATTGTCTTTCTGTTACGTGTTGCCTTTTGAATTGCAATTCTGTTATATGTTGCTTTCTTTTGATGAGCTGTTGAATAGTATTGATTACGTGTCAATGTATGAATTCAGTTACAGAATGGTTAGACTTCGTTGCTTATAAGCACGATTAGGGTCATTTGAAGGGACATTGATGAATATACAGATTTCCTTTTGCAATTTCTCTCTGTTTTGCATTTGTTCCTCTTGTTCCCTCCCTGAGATTCCCTTCTTAGGATCCGCTATCCTAACATTGGTGCTTTCATCTCCTTGGAGCTCAGCAAGATTTCACGATGCGCGTTCAAGAATTGGCCGATGAGTTTGGAGCATTTCAGCTCTGTGTCGATCGTGGTTTGGTGGACATGCAAGCTCGAGTGGATCAACGTTTCACCGAACATCAGAACCAATTCGTTAGTATCACTGCGCAACTGTAAGAAATATGCAGCGGTGGTTGGCAACATTAATCGAACACATGGTGCGCACTCTTCTGCTGGTAATGATGTCGGAGGCACTTCTCATCCGCGATTTGCTCCTGATGATCCTCGCTTCCTCATGAAATCAATTCGCATGGAGTTACCGGTTTTTAATGGCACGGATCCAAATGGTTGGATTTTTCGCACGGAACTTTACTTCGGTTTGCAACAGGTTCCTGATTCGTTGAAGGTCCAGTTGGCTGGGATGCGTATGGATGGGTTAGCTGGCCCATGGTTTCAATGGTTGTTTAATGGAGGTTCTGTCTCATCTTGGGAACAACTTAAGTTGGCAGTTCGTCAACGATTTGGAGGCACTGCGTACACGGATTTGAGGGGTGTTCTCTCAAAGTTGACACAAGATGGCAATCTGGATGACTACATCAGGAACTTTGAGGCCTTAATCAACCAAGTCACTGAGTTTTCTGATGAAGTCCTTATGAGTTTCTTTGTGTCAGGGCTCTTACCTGATCTTCGTCGCGCTATTCAACTTCATTCTCCCACATCTCTCCACCAAGCTATGCAGTTGGCCATCACATATGATGCCCACTTTGTGGAGCTGCGTTCCTCTTTTACTTCAACAGGGACTAAGAAGAGTTTTGTCAAGAGTTCCTATACAGTGGAGCAACCAAAACCGATCACCACTATTCTGTCTAACTCGAAGCCTGCATTTCCTGCTCTGCCGTCTAATGTCCCTTATAAGAAGCTTAGTCATGAAGATTTGCTTAAGAAGCGGGAGTTGGGGATTTGTTATACTTGTGATGAAAAGTGGAATCCCCGGCACAAGTGTCAATCTAAGCTCTTCTTATTGGTGGGGGATTTCGAGGATGCTGTTGAAGAGACTGATGAGCATATTGTGTGGCAGCCTGAAGTCACTCATGAAGTTCCTCTTGAAGCTGCTCTCCACTCTCTCAAAGGTGACAAAAATCCACGAGCTCTTCAGTTTCGTGTAAAGCTCCTCACCCAGTGGGTATCTATCCTAGTTGACTCAGGCAGCTCCCACAATTTTATGCAGAAGCACTTGGTAGAGGCTATGGGATTGTCAACTCTTAAGGTGCCCAGAATGCGTGTTTTTTTGGGTAATGGGGAGTTTCTGGTTTGTGACAGAAAATGCTTGGCTGTTCTTTTGGAGATTCAAGGGTATGCATTTACTGTGGATCTATGGATTATTGAGTTGACTGGTTTTGATATTATTTTGGGCATTGCATGGCTGAGTCAATTAGGCAGAGTTATTCATGACTATGCTGAATTGTCCATGGATTTTATGTCCCAAAACGGCAGGGTTATTTTACAAGGAGAATCTGTTGGTGGGAGGGTGGCTTTTGTTGACCAGCAGTGTTTGACATTGACAGGGAAGGTTAATCATATGGGGTCTGATATTCTTCCTGAGTTATTGGATTTGAAACAGAAAATCCCCATTGCTGTTTGGGAAATTTTGGTGCAGTTTCAACCAGTATTCCAGCAGCCTCAGGGATTGCCACCTCCTAGGAGTTGTGATCATGCCATTCATTTGATAGAAAGGGCTAGGCCAGTCAATGTGAGGCCTTATCGGTATGCTCACCATCAGAAGGGAGAAATAGAGAATCAAGTCTCTGATCTGTTGTCATCCGGATTTATTAAGGAAAGTAGGAGTCCTTATTCATCTCCTGTGTTACTTGTTAAGAAACAAGACAACTCTTGGAGGATGTGTATCGATTATAGAGCCTTGAACAACATTACAGTCAAGGACCGCTTCCCTATTCCAACAATAGATGAGCTGCTAGATGAGCTTAAAGGAGCTACTGTTTTTACTAAGTTAGACTTGCGCAGTGGTTACCATCAAATTTTGTTGGTCCCTGAAGACACCCAAAAAATGGCATTCCGAACTCACGAAGGCCACTATGAGTTCTTGGTGATGCCTTTTGGCTTAACCAATGCTCCTTCGACATTTCAAGCGGCCATGAATCATATGTTTCGGCCATATCTTCGCAAATTCATCATAGTGTTTTTTGATGATATCCTAATTTACAGTGGTTCAATTGAGGAACACTATAACCATCTTGTACTGACTTTGACTTGTTTGCAGGATAATATGTTCATGGTGAAGCTTAGTAAATGTTCTTTTGCTCTGGCTGAGGTGGACTACCTGGGACATCTGGTATCAGGCTTTGGTGTGAAGGCTGATCCCAGGAAAATTGCTGCAATGCAACAGTGGCCACAACCGAAGACAATTAAACAATTACGAGGTTTTATTGGTCTTACGGGATACTATCGAAGGTTTATTCAGCACTATGCAGCAATAGCATCACCCTTAACTGACATGCTGAAGAAGGACTCTTTTTGTTGGACAGAGGAAGCTTCTACAGCTTTTGATGCCTTAAAAGAGGCTATGTCTAAGACCCTTGTCTTGATTCTGCCTGACTTCACTTCCCCTTTTGTGGTAGAAACTGATGCATCATCTTTGGGAATAGGGGCTGTCCTTCAACAGCAAAATCACCCTATAGCTTTCTTCAGCAAGAAGCTTGGGCCACGAATGCGAGTAGCTTCAACCTATGTCAGGGAATTATATGCCTTAACTGAGGCAGTGAAGAAGTGGAGGCATTACTTGTTGGGATCTAGGTTCATCATTCGAACAGATCACAGAAGTTTGAAGGAATTATTAACGCAAACAGTCCAAACTGTTGAGCAACAGAAGTATGCCTGCAAATTAATGGGATATGACTTTAGTATTGAATATAAACCTGGTGTGAACAATGTTGCTGCAGATTCCTTGTCAAGGTGTTTTGAAGAGGAGCAATCAAGTTTTAATTTGACTTTGCTGTCAGAAGTTACATTTCCATTACTAGATCAGATTAAGGCTGAAAATCATTCTGATCCTGAGTTAATGGATATTCGGATGAAATTGGAACATAATGAGCTGCTGAATCCTGACATCACTGAGAGAGATGGAATATTATACCATAAAAATCGCTTCCTTCTTGGTACTGCTTCAGCATTAAAGGACATTATCATGCATGAGGCACATTCCACTTTGATTGGAGGACATGCAGGTATCTCTCGTACTTTTTTACGGTTGTCTGCTTCTTCTTTTTTTGGAAAGGTATGAGGAAGGATGTTCAGGAACTGGTCAAGCAGTGTGCTACTTGTCAGCTGATTAAGCATACAACCTCTCCTCCCTTGGGTCTGCTTCATCCTTTACCTATTCCTGGTGATGTGTTTGACGACTTGAGCATGGATTTTATCACAGGATTACCCTTATCCAAAGGATTCAATGTTATACTGGTAGTGGTTGACCGTTTGACAAAATTTGCTCATTTTGGGGCCTTAGCTTCTCCTTATACTGCAGCAAAGGTAGCTACTCTGTTTTGTGATATGGTAGTCAAATTGCATGGTTTTCCAAAAACCATTGTTTCGGATAGAGACTCTATTTTCTTGAGTCATTTCTGGTCTCAGCTCTTTAAATGTAGTGGGACAAGCCTCAGAACTAGCACCTCTTACCACCCACAGACAGATGGGCAATCTGAAGTTACAAACCGTTATTTGGAGCAGTATCTTCGTGCTTTCTGCCATGATGAGAACCATAAGTGGGCAGGGTACTTAGGCTGGGCTGAGTTTCATTATAACACTGCTGTTCACTCTTCAATTGGCATGTCTCTTTTCCAAGCTCTTTACGGTAAGGCTCCTGTTATGATTCCTTCTTATAGCAAAGGTTCTGTCCGAGAGGAGGCAGTTGATGCCACTTTGCACCATCGTGATGTATTACTGCGGTATCTTAAGGATCAGCTACAGGGAGCTCAGAACCGTATGAAAATCCAGGCTGACAAGCATAGAAAGGATTTCACATTTTCAGTAGGTGATTTGGTGTTAATTAAATTACAGCCTTATCGCCAGATCACAGCAGCACATAGGAAGTGTCAGAAGCTTTCCAAAAGGTATTTTGGTCCTTATCCTATTGTGCGTGTGTTGAGTCCAGTGGCTTATCAAGTGGGATTGCCTGATAATTGTCGAATCCATCCTTCTTTCCACATATATGTGCTCAAACCATTTCGAGGTGATGGTTCTATTGCTCCTGTACCGCTGCCTGCACTTACTAGGGAAAATCACCCTGTCCAAGTCCCTTTGGCAGCAGTAATGACTCGAATGGTTCATGAACTTCATGGAGATCGTAGACAGTGGTTAATCCAGTGGACCAACTCCCTTCCTGAAGATGCTACATGGGAGTTTGAGGATGATCTTACCATGTTTTATCCAGAGTTTTCTTTTCCAGATATAAACCTTGAGGTCAAGGTTCCTATTGCAGGTGGGAGTAATGTCACGGTGAAGGATCCTACACTGAAGAGGAGGACTGGGGCTCCTTTTTGGGCCAAAGATTACATTGTGTAATCAGCCCATTATCCAAGTGTCCATGTCCAAGAGGAATTGACCCAACTTTAGTATTGATACTTATTAGGAGTAAATTGTCTTTCTGTTACGTGTTGCCTTTTGAATTGCAATTCTGTTATATGTTGCTTTCTTTTGATGAGCTGTTGAATAGTATTGATTACGTGTCAATGTATGAATTCAGTTACAGAATGGTTAGACTTTGTTGCTTATAAGCACGATTAGGGTCATTTGAAGGGACATTGATGAATATACAGATTTCCTTTTGCAATTTCTCTCTGTTTTGCATTTGTTCCTCTTGTTCCCTCCCTGAGATTCCCTTCTTAGGATCCGCTATCCTAACAATGTGTTTCATAAGTCAATAATAAAATAAGTCACTATGTTTGATTTAGTGGTGAAAGATTTGAATAAATTGTATTAGGTTATGTATTCAATTCTTATTATTATATAAAAAATATCAATAAAAAGAAAAGTTATGTAATGTGTGCAGATGGACAAGGCCCATGTACTAAGAGAAGCTATCAATTATGTGAAACAACTTCAAGAACGTGTGAAAGAGCTAGAAGAAGATATTCAGAAGAACGGTCTAGAATCAGTGATAACCATAACAAGATCTTATCTCTATATTGAAGATGACACTGCTTTCAGTGAAACTAACACTGATGAATGCTATGGGCCCAACGAAGCACTTCCTGAAGTTGAAGCCAGAGTCATAGGGAAGGAAGTGTTGATCAAAATTCAGTGTGGGAAACAAAAGGGTATTCTGCTCAAAATATTGTCCCAGCTTGAAGGCCTTCATCTCTCAATATGCAGTAGCAATGTCTTGCCATTTGGGGATACTCTTGACATCACCATTATTGCTCAGGTAAATAACATAATATCAAATTTGATTATCATCACCCCATAACCAGATGGTAAATTCTTTTTGTCAAACTTGTTAAAACGAACATGGTTACACATTTCAACCCAAAAATTTAAGTGAAGGCTTATGTAGCAACTATCGTTTAGAATTCAAATTATGTTTATTTTATTGGAAAGAACCAATTCAACCCAAAAGCTTAAGGTTTCAAACATTGTTTATTTTGTTGGGTGAGGCTACATCGTCCCCTTTGGGTGAGGCTACATCGTCCCCTTACACGAGAGCCCACTAGGCTTGAAGGGTGGACAATGCACAATTACACCTACTTGTGCGAAATTCCACTTGAAAGAAAGTGGGGCAGAGAGGATCGAACCCGGGACACGAGGCTCTGATACCATGTAAAGAACCAATTCAACCCAAAAGCTTAAGCTATTGGGTGAAGGTACATTAATGGCTTTATATATCTCAACATTTATCTTTATCTTAATTAGTTTTAAGTTTGTTTTATCTTATCTCATTAGCAGAATTTATTATTTTATTTCAAATTATGTTGTTCCGTATTTTATTTCATTTGTTAGCAAATATAAGTGGTTGTAAATAGATAGTTCACTGATCACAAGAGCAATCAATGAATGAATTAAGAAATCGCGGTCTTCTTTTTAAATTATCTCTTCTCTCTTGGTCTTTCTTTTATTGTTCTCCTTCTTCCCTTATCCCTCTCTTATTCTTGATCTAACTTCTCTCTTGCTCTCTTCAATCATTCTCTTTCTTCCCTAATATCCCCTCCTTCTAATTTTTATGGCTATAGCTTGTCACACAAGAATTCATTGGATTTCGAGTACCATGCAGATGACCTTCCTACCTATACTAATAAACTCCAGTTAATATTTAATTATTTATTAACAGAATAAGGGATTTGAACTTATAACCACGAAAACTCTCGTATCATATAAAAAATTAATTCAACCAAAAACTTAAAGTATTAGGTAAAAGTTCATTAATAATTTTTATATTATATTTCTCTTATACTTGTATATATTGCTACAACTATGGTGCAGATGGGTGACAAATACAGCTTGATAGTGAAGGATCTAGTGAAAAAACTGAGACTAGTGGCTATGCTGAAGTCATGTGAAGTAAGATAATGATGCGAGGTAGGGTATCAAACAAGTCCAGTAATTTTGTAAGTTAAGGACTTGAGAAGTTTCAAAGCCGCTGCCCGAGAATAGCTTGCTTTATTTTCTGTATGTTGAATCAACATGAAGCAATTCTGTGTGTTCGGCATGAGTATATCTCTTGCTTTATTACGATATCGTTGTCTTGGATGAGGATCATCAAATTTGTTGTCATTATTTTATTGGTGAAGTAATGGGTTATATCTGAAATGTTTATGCTTATATAATTTATAAGAAGGGTTCGCTTTTTCTACTGTCAAAATATAAATAACTTATCTACAGTGAGCACAAAACGACGTCGTTTTGAGACGGAAATCAATGTATTTTTGTAATTATAATTTATTTCGGGGTTATAGTCTTTTTTATTATAATTTTTTAATTTTTTAACCCAAAACGACATCGTTTTGGAAGTGAATGTAGATAAGTTATCTACATTCACTCTAAAAACATTAAAACCTTATAAAAAAAATTCTTTTTTAAGCAAAATAAGACTTTAGTATTCCCACAAGAATCAAGCGGCCTGATATTCAAACCTTACTCTTTTGACAGTTCCGTTAAAAAAAATTATATAACATTAATTATATTTTTAAATATGGAAAATAAAATAATCTAAATACATAAAAATTATTTATACAATATTCTTGCATTACACGTTACACTTATTTCTTTTTAAATTAATGCTGTACAATTTCTCAAAAACTTGCTTAAATTGAAGTATTGGTCTTCTTATTAATCCCCGCCCAAACAAAAAAGGTTAATGCTGGTTTCCTTTTCAATCAGCTTCGCCCGTCACCTAGCATACAAATATTGATCTTTTAAGCCAAGTGAAATAATTATAAAATATTTTATTTAATTAGAAATTTCATCTGAATTAATGGATTACTCCCTTTTTTATTCGAGAGCTAATTATTAAGAGTCATTGTAGTGTTTATTTATATATATTTTTTATTGAATTGTATAAGATACTTAGAGCTTGTTTAGATCCTCTCTTTTTTAAACTATAAACTACTTATAAACTAAAAAAAAAAAAAAACTTCACAAAAAATGCTAAAAGCTATTTGATAATTACATAAAAATTTTAGCTTAAAAACACATATTTCAAAAAAATTATTTCTCTTTCTATCTTTATAACTCTTTAATTTAAAAAAAACACACAATTCAAGAAAAGCAGATAAGAGCTTTAAAAAACCTCCTCCAAAGAGCTTTTAGCTTTCATCTTTTTTCTTCATTATAAAAAAAAAAAAATCATTATAAAAACTTTTCTCAAAACCTGTTTAGCCTAAGTTATACTTCTAAGTAACTTCTAACTTAAAAAAAAAATCCAACATACACTTAATTGGATATGTCTTTACGATCCTCCTTAAAATAGGATTTGTCGATTTGGATATTATAGTGCCTACCCGATGCTTGCATTTATTTGGATATCAATCTTGAGCATCTGTTCAGATAGTTGGAAATCTTTCTATTTTACTATTTACAAGCCTGGGAAAATAGATACACTTTGAAACGGAAAAAATTCAGGCGGAAGCATCTCAACTCGTGGATCCACCTTTGCAGTTTGTATAAACTTGTGATTATAAAAATGGAGCAATGCAGTCAGTATAAGCAATGCAGTCCATAAAAGGAGTAATTCATTCTTCTGTTAAGCTTTTTCTTCCCAGTTCGGAGCCAATAGTTGATGAGGATTCTTTTGAAATGTCAAAGACAGTCCCATCTTTGTTTTCATTTGACACGGGCAGCTGTTCTACCATCTTCCCACCCTCAAGACAAAGCATGAGATCTCCAAGCTGCACGGATTAAGAAAGTATCAAATAGCAGTTCGATAAGTTTCATCTAGGCACAATTATAATTACATAAATCGAATCTATAACCTCCAACCTCGGGATCACATGGCGATAACATCAACAATTCTATTAAGGTTACTTTCATGTAGGCACAATTATAATACACCAAACCGCTCCCCATAACAACCCCAACCCATAAATAAAAAGAGAGAAATAACGAAAACGGTATACTTCACCTGCTTTTCCAGGTCCGTTACTCTATCATCAGTCGTTTTCCAAGCCTTTTTCTCCCTGAAAAAAAGTAAATCGAACATCCGTTTACAAACCTTTGGACCAATTTTTCAACTACTTGAGTCCCGAGAAATGGGAATTCATAGTATCACAATAAAGCAGCAATTATGGACATTTGGTTATATTGTACACGAGACTTCTTCATATCATATACTAACTATTTTGAGAATAACACGTCAACCGTAAAAAATAAGGAAAGGAAAAAGCATACTTCTCTTCGATCTCAAGTATCTTTGCTTTCCAAATCTCCTCATTTTTTACAAGATTCTCATTAAGCTGCAGACAAAAACAAAAATATAAACATTCGCAAGACATCTTCGTATTTGGTTATAAGCAAGGAAATGGGAATGGGAATAACAAAAACAAAATTATAACATTCGCAACAGGATTTCCTGTTTTCATGATATATTATTAACGAGATAACACAAAAGCCTATGACATGTTCATAACTTATGTGTCATATTACAAGAATTCAGCAAAAGAGATTTTTCAAGCGTGGATTACAACTTACTTCATCCAGGAATTTCTTCTCTTTGTTACATCTGTCAATCTTGGCCTGAATCTTCTGCTGTTTAAGACTGCAGGCCTTCTGAACGGCTTTGGAAATTTTTCTTTCAGTTTCTTCTTTTACCTCTTGTAATAAGGATTCAAAATACTACAGTTAAAACAGAAAAAGATTAATCAACAAGTTTACAAACATGAATATGTTTACGCTAGACAGGAGGCAATCTTGGCGATTCACTGCAAATGAAAATGGGAATACACTTACTAATTTTTGATTTTCAAGTTGAGTAGCAAGCAATTCATTGTACTCATTGACAATCTGTAAAAGAAAATGAATATATTTATATAATGTATGAATTATTAAAACTCATCATAAAGATACATAAAACTAAGATTTGAGAAAATTATGAAACTAGTCTTGCAACATTACAGCTTCAACTTTACTATTAAGTATAGTCTCGTTCATGGCATTATCTTCACAGCTGCAACTTCCACATCCCTTGTCTGCATGCACACAGTGAGAGTTCAGCTCAACCAACTTCCCATCAGTTTTGGACTGAATAAGTCTATGAACATAGTTGTCTCCCACATAGTCCCACACACGCTTTGTTTCCACTTCTAGGGAATAGCAATGCTGTGTCTCTTTCCAGTGTATTATGGCATGTCCTCCTTTATATCTGAATCAAGATTTTCTTAGGAATTTCAGAAGACACATATGGTTGCAACCAAACACATTTAAAAAAGAAAGAATGAAAAACAACAAATCAAAGGTTGATGGACAAAAACCTCTCACCTTCCACAGCCAACAAACCCACATATAACACATATCCAAAGGTTCTCAGTTGTTTGACAAACAAAACATATAGATTTTTCTGCTTGCTGCTGGCAATAGCGGCATACCTGAATAAAAAAAGTAGGAGACAAGTAAATACTTAACTAATAAACAGATTAAAAAATGAACCATTGCTGTCAAACTAATCAAGAAATCCCAGCTGAAATTAACTATAAATCAGAAAACATACAATTCGTTCAGAAACCCAATCCCCAAAGTAGCTCAAACAGTACAGTAAAACATCCTTATGCAGGTATATAAAAGACAGAGCCAATGGAGCCACTTACAGGACAAGAAGAATCTGCCCATTTCGAAATACATGAACAATGGAAAGAATGATTGCATATAGTTGTAAGGATTCCACTCGTGTCTTGATCTAATCGCTCTGCAAATAACACATGAAAAAGCGACTCATAAATATTTGAAAGCTTCCTTACAAAAAAAAAAATACATTTTTTTTTGGACAATAAAAGTTTAAGTGGACTTAGACACTGGTATCCCATTAGGGTAAGGGAAAACCCCTCAACCTCTTTGAGGATTTTCGGGAGAAAAAGGAATTACATATCACCCACCAATAAAGTCCTCCCATTCAGCAGAGTTTGAACCCACGCGCTTGAGTGATATGGACCAAACCCTTAGCCAACTTGTCTATTTTTGTTGGCTAAGGACATTTTGGAGCAATCATGTCTACGTTTAGTATATGCTAATGAATATTTCAGTTGAGAAAGTTCCATACAAATAGAAAGGGAAGATAAATTAATAATTGCAGGAAATAAAAAGGGAATGTACCAAGGCACACGGGACATGTAGGCTGTTCAGTTGAAGTAGCATTGGATGGTTGTGCATGTTCAATTGAACCAGTGTATTGCACATCTAATGTGAAAAGAACACGGCAAACCTCAACCTATGTACAGAAAGAGCAATAACCAATGATTAAATTGGTTTTCACTTTTCATGTGAGTTTCAAAAATTGAGAAATAATAAAATAATGATTGAAGAAATGAAAGGAGAAACCTCGAGAGATGAGAAACGGTGGCCAGAGTAGTGCTTGTAGAAACTGTCTGTAGAGTTTTGGTCATCAAAACGAATTAAAACACTGTACTGATCCTCCATCCCATCCATCCTAAAAACAAAGAAAGAAAATAATTGAAGAACATGAACATGATATGATGAAATTATTTGATAAAATAAAGTAAGAAGGAAAAATTACCTGACAATGCGCATCTCAAGGATATGATGAATAAATGAACCACAGAACTGGCAGAAATCGGCATAGGTCATGTGATTTGGCACACCAACAACACACACAAGGGGCTTCCGTCCAACCTAATAAAAGAATTTGATGCGAATTCATTATTAAATGTTTGAGAAAAGGAAGAAGAAAAAAGGATTTGAAAAAAAAAAAAAAAAAAAAAAGAGATTACGGGAAGAGAAGAAGGAGCATCGTCGGGGAAAAGATGCATGAGGCCACGGGTCTCCTCGATTCTAGGGTTTCCAGAAGAGAAATTGAACAAGGATGTTGAAAAGGACGACGAAGAAGATTCACTGGGCTCCTCCTCACTCGCTGTGCTGGAACACCACATCGCTATACACTTCACCCCACACACACACACACCAATTTGGTTTCTTCAATGGATTACTAAAGAAGGCAAGGTCGGTCATGTCCTTCAACGCTTCCATATTAATTTTTTATTCAACACACTTATTCTTTTTTAATTTAACTATTATAACTGTTTAATGTTTCTTCAATAGATTACTCTTTAATTTAAGAACTTTATACGAGTTATGTTGTAGGAAAAATAATTTTGTAATGTTATAGAGATTCGTTTCGCGTGCCGTAATTTCTTTATTTTCTTTTTCTTCAAAAAGTATAGGCCTCACAAAATGTTATATGTGTAGGAAAATTTGTTGTGTCATGTTAAATGACAAATACAAATCCCTTAATTTAATTATTACAACTATTTATTTCCGGCAATCTAACGGTTATAATTTATTGAAAATTAATAACATTTATTGTGTCACATTTATTTATTCTCAATAAATTATAGTCGTTAGATTGATGAGAATATTAAATTAATTGTAACAGTTGTAAACTTTTTTGGTGATAAGTGAATCCGTTCCCATATAAAAATATGAGGGATCCATATTTTTTTGCTCTTTCTTTTCTTCACCTGTATTCCACACACTTTTATGTGTTATATGAAATAAAATTATATTATATAAAACGATAAATATTAATTTCTTATTATAATAATATTTTAATTTAGGAAAAATATTTTCTTGCGTTGTGATAAAGTTATTATCTTATACCAATTACCTTTCAATTTTCGTGTAACATTTATTTTTTTATTTTTTAATAGATGCAGGTCACACATAAAATATATCTATAACATGAAATATATCTATAACATGAAATATCTATGTAATCCATAGAAATTTGAAACCCTTTAATTTATCGTATTATCGTTATTTACAAAGACAGATATAAAGTAACTTTAAAATACATTTATCACATATATCAACTGAGTATATAACATTTCTAATCTTTATTTACGACAATTGTTTTTGGGTAGAATTATTTAAGACATTTATGTTTAATTTAATCCTTACATTTTATTGTATTAGAATTATAATCAAAATAATTATAATAACAGACAACGACCAAATTAAAAATAACTATGGGAATAAGAACTTAACTAACAACCTTTTCTTATGTAAAGACTAAATTGAAAATATATTTTAAATTATTTTAGTTACTTATAGAAAAAATGAGTTCTCGAGATTTTTTTAGTTTTGTGCTTTACTTATTGTTTAACAGATGTAGGACAATTAGTTCGAGGATATTTCACTGTCCAGTACCTATCATACAATTTAATTATGTAGTGATAATATGTATAATATATATATATATATATATATATATATATATATATATATATAGTGATAATGAGCTGTCATTATTTAATCACACTTCAAAGAAAGAGAGGTTTTCATATTAAACACTAGTGTAAAAGACAAAGTGTAACACTTCAAATCATACGAGACATTTTTTTTTTTTTTTTTTTATGTTTGTGTCGTGTGCTTGCTTCATCAATATTATAGGTAAAACTAATTTCTCCGTTTTCAGAGCAATCAAAATTTCATTCTCACAATCAGTTGGTAGCAGAGAACCTGAATAAATAAAAAGTAAAGAACCTCAATTCAATCCTCACATGTCACTTTTGGAAAGAGTTTAAATATATTTATCCTTTATCCACCCCGCACTCCGGATTAGTCTCATAACCAACTCAAAAAGTCAAAAATTATGAGAATATCAAGAGAAGCTAACTCGACTCAAAGAGGTAATTAGGATCGGATTAATTCCAAAAAAAAAAAAACATTCTCCATCAATCATTGTTCTAATATTACAGGCAGCTTAGCATTTAAGTGAAACTAAGCAACTAACTATTAATCCCAGCACAAAAGAACAACCTTGCTACTTTCAGAAAGTTCAACAAGACATAGGCTGGGTGTTGAAACCAAAATACATAAAATGTAGAAGGAAACCCAGAACTCTCCAGATCCAGAGTAGGGAGATTTTTTCAGCTTTGGCAGTCATAGTGATCTCCAAGACAAACCAGGCCCTAAAATTCTGTGCTGGGTTGATCTCAAATCACACTGAAGCAGCAACAGGAACGTGAGATTCTACTGACTTCAGTATCTCCTCACCTAGTTGTTTGCATCCTACCAGCTTCTGCATTAACACCCAATCCAGACATCATTTTTATTCAGCAAAATATACCAATACCCGTTCAATACGCTCATTATGAGAAACCAGAGAGAAAAGTGGTGGAATATTGTAAACAATGAACATTTAGCTTCCATGACCTTTTTTTCTCTATCCTCCCATGGTAATTAACCAAAGTGAAGATAATCTGAAGTGTAATAAAAAAGAACTGAAGTTTTTTCAACACTAATGTCAAGATAGTAAAAGAGATCTTACTGTTCCAGCGGAATATATGTCAGCAGTTCGAAATCCCCTGTTCAAAGTGTCCAGAACAGCATTCTCTATTCTTTCAGCGGCCTTTTCTTCTCCAAGGCCATATCTCAAAAGCATAGCTGCGCTAAGAACAGTAGCAAATGGGTTTGCCTTGTCCTGTATTAATAATTATGCTGTTGTTAAGCATGTTGCCCGAGGGCAAATGAAGAACGGAAGTAAAGAATCCAACCTGTCCAGCAATATCAGGTGCAGAACCATGTATCGGTTCAAAAAGTCCCGGTCCCTGATCCAATAAAATGCAAATTCAAGTAAAATTGATAATGTTACTTGCCTCTAGCATAGCACAAAGCATTGCAAGATAAACTTAAGAAACAAGCTCATGATCTATGTTATGATTCATTATGAATAATGATTTTCATACCGAATCCCCAAGGCTAGCAGAAGGAAGCATCCCAATACTTCCAGTGATCATTGAAGCCTCATCTGATAATATATCGCCAAAAATGTTGTTTGTTACAATCGTGTCAAACTGCAAAATCCAGAGTTACATATTGTAACATTTGCATTTTCACCATTCAAATGATTTTTCTTTAGTGAATATAAATTTGCATAGCAACAAATAAAATGAAACACAGATTAAGCTAATTTATTCCATAAGCAAACCTGTTTTGGATAGCGAATTAGTTGCATTGAGGCATTATCAACATACATGTGTGAGAGCTCAACATCAGGATATTCTTGTGCTAATGCCAAAACCCTTTTCCTCCAGAACATTGATGCCTGGAGAATTCAAACATAGTTAGTGTGCAGGAACTGGACCTAAATCTGTCACAAGTATATTCTTGCTCATTCCCCTAAGTAGCCAAAACATGCACAAGTTTTAATCATTCAGTGAATGTGCAACATCTATATTATATTTATAAGGTTACTTGCATCCGCAAAGACCTCTATCCAGTTTCCATTAATTAATTTTTGATTTCCTTGTACAGGTACATCAGGACCAACTACTGCATATCACAGCACATAATCACCAATACCATTTCAACCTAATCACCAACAATATTCCTGAGGCATAAGCAAGACATATACCAAGATAGTTGTCATGATTTCATTCAATTGATGGCACTTGTTAATTAATGGTATAAAGATCAGCAAGACTCACTAACAAAAAAAAAAAGGAACCTGAGATATATTCCCACAATAGGTTGGTTATCAATGGAATTATCATGTATGATTTAAAACAAGCAAAGCATTATAAATTATATTACATTAAATCTATATTATTGTTCTTTAGAAAAGACGCCACTGGATCTCAGGGCCACTTGGTTATCAAGTTACAAAAAAGACACTAAATATCCAAATTAACAAATATCATGTTTACATACTTATAAACTATTTACAGGTATAGGTCAATAGAAATTTGCATTTCTTAGCGATATAAAAACATTAACAGAATGAGTGTAGCCACATTTTATACTAAAGTTATCTCAGAAGGTCTATCAGCCACCTAATCTAAACAGAAACCTAAATATGACGAAACAACTTAAATATCTCAGAATGAGTGCAGCATGATTGAATCTTCCCAATATCAAGTTTAAGCAATTTAATACAAGCAGCTCAACTATAATGAGAAAATGAAGATTAGCACTAATATTCTCAATATATCAAACAAGCACAGAGTCGCAGACTCATCGGGAACCAATGAACTTTTTTCTGTACACATATCATACAAGGGAAAAAACTTCAAAGAATTCCTAAGTAAGTCTCATAGCTTGATCCGGAAATAATTACCTCTAGTACATTGGCTTTGTCAACAGAGCAAAGTTTCCCACGACGCTTCCGAGCAATCTCAAATGCAAAACGAGCTATGCGATCAATCTGGTATACAAATTATCATTAATCAGAGAATCACAGATCTAGAGATAATATAGAAAATAGTTAGAGACTATAAAGAAACAACTGTCTAGAAGGAAACTAAAAATCCCTCAGATCCAGAGGTAAAGAAAAAAGTGCAATCTGCATATAGTACATACCCTTATCCTTCCTCCTAGATAATGTTACCTCTTTTAAAATATTTTTTTAAAAAAAAACTAGAGATCTTGTGGGAACCCCAGCTCCTGCTACTACAATTTTTAGTCCAACTAGAGATATTTTTCATAACTGATCTTGATTCAATCAATCATTTGGAATGATTGTATAAGAAAAACTCAACTCAAATCCTTCACATGAATTCTCTTTAACATAAATATTCAAACAGGGTCAACAACCTCACTAAATTTGTTGCAATCATATCTTTTTTATCGCTCACTCTTTGGACATGCATTTTTTAATCTACAGAACCATCTTGCATTATTAAGATACCTCATGTGCAGCATAAATTTCAGTATTAAAGCCAATCTCTTCACCATTTTCATTGGTACCAAAGCCCCTGGGTTTTCCAAAATAGATACCTGGACAACAAAAGAGCAGCAACAAGACTTAGTCCGATGAATTAGCTGCATACCTCCATAATTAAAGCAAATGAATGAAGAAATAATGTTTAAATTTTAAGTATTGTAGGAACATTTGAGACTTTAGGATTTTTATTTTTTTTTCAAATAAAAATAAAAGAAATAAAATCCACTACACTGAAACCAGAATTAGAACACCACAGACCTCCAGTGAGTTCCCTAACAACCATGAGATCAACCCCTTCAGCAACCTCTCTCTTCAAAGTTGAAGCATCCACTAACTACAGAAGAAACTAACACAATTAAAGACACACTAGAGATAAATTGAAAACCATTACGAAATAGCAAGGAAATATATACTAAAAAAAAAACACTCTCTTCATACAGTTATCATATTGTAAAGTCTTTAGGGTGTTTGGTAAGGGGATTTTATTTTGTTGCCTAGGAAAGTGGGGATGGGATTCATAAGAAACCGTGTTTGATAGGAGTTTGGAAAAAATTTGCGTAAGAAACTTATTTGCATGAGAATGTATTTTGTGTATAAAATTGAAGTAAGAATACCACATAAGAATACCACCCAGAGGATGGTATTCTGATTTTGCCAGCAAAATGCTAATTTGCCCACAATTTTATCGGTAATATTTCGAACTACCAAACAATTTTTTTTTAACTTTCCCTTCCCACTATATTTCCATTAATTGTGATTCTCTCACATTTCTCACCTATAAATTCATAATACATATATGCAGTTCGATTCCAAGCAACAACAGCGAGATTTTCCCTTTACCCTTAACTGCATTCACTTTAACTAGCATGAACTGGAAAATGCAGCATGAAAAAGTTTTGACCTGTGGGAATACAGTTGCTGGTCTCAGATTAGCAAAAACTCGAAGCCCTTGTCGTAGCTGAAGCAACCCAGTCTCTGGCTTAAGATGTTTCTCATTTTTATCCCATTTATACCTTTAAGTAATTAAACAAAATGAGGGCACATAAAAATAATGAAAGGGTTTAACAGTAAAGTAACACAGTACCCTCCAATGGCACCAAGCAGAACAGCATCAGATTGCTTAGCGACAGAAAGGGTGTCGTCGGGTAAGGGGACTCCGGTGGCATCAAATGCAGCTCCACCAAGGAGCATCTCTCGAAACTCGTATTGGATCCCGTGGAGAGAGCCAGCGAGGAGAAGAACGTCTTTGGCGACGGAGATGACTTCGGGGCCGATGCCATCTCCGGGAAGGAGAGTGATCGTGTAAGAGCGTTTCGAATGAGAGGTGGCGGCGGCGGAGGAACACCTCACTGAATTTGTTGGCCTCCGGAAGGAGAAGGACTCAAACGGTTTCAGAGGTTTGGGATGAACAATTTGCAGACAAGCCGCCATTGCTGTCATAATTGGGCCTCGACCCAACTAAATCTCACCTTAAAATATGGTATAGCTAAAAAAATTAAAAATAAAAACAAAGGGATTAAGAGTAAGAAATAGAAAATGGAAATCATGCCACCACAATTTTTAATATGCTACGGAGCACACTCGTCTTTTCATTTAAAAATTGACATATGTATTAAAAAAAATTCTCTCTTCTCTCTCCTCAACCTTTTCTCTCATCTCAATTTCACTCAATTTTTCTTACTCTCGGACCATAGTATATTCGCTATGTGGCAAGAGGTTGGGAGGTATTTTATTTTAAATAAAAATATTATTTTTAATTAAAATTACCATTCTTTAGATAAATAGTTTTCCCAAAAAAATAAAATAATTTACACAAAGACTTTTAGAAGTGATTAGAGGTGGCAAAATGTGTTCAGTCTCGGGCCGGCTCACCCAGCCTGCCAGATGGGGTCGGACGAGTTGAGTTTTTCAAGTTTGTATGCCCGCTTACTTGTCTGGCTTGAATTTTTTTTATTTTTTTAGTATAAAATGTCATTAGACTGGCGAGCAGCCAACCTAAATGAAACGGGACGGACTGAGTTTTCTTAACCCATCTTTAAAGATAAGGCGGGGCGGGGCAGTCCAGCCCATTTTTTTATGACCTAGGGTAAGGTAGGCCGTCCACTTTGTCACCTCTACAAATGGTAATTACATTTGAATGGTTACTCCATCTTAAATTGGGATAAACGTGTATGTATCTATCTCTCTCTTACCTATATAGACCGTCTATAATAGACTATACTATATAGATAATACATGTGTAATGTTAATAGAAAAATGAGAAAATTTCTTGCAGATACAAAAATCGGGAGAGAGAAATAAATATAACTGAGAAAAAACTATCAATGGCCCCACTTCAATTTTTGTCTTGCAGGAAAGTTTTTTGTTTTCCTGTAACATTATGCATGTATTACCCATACTATATACAAAAGAAATGTAACATATATATCTTGTTAAATTATAATTTGAATAAATAAAATATTAAAATCTCTTAATTATAATTTAAACTTGTGTTAAAACTTAAAAAAGCAAAAATCATACACTAGCTAGTAGATATGTAAATGGATCTAACAACTTATCAAGGGTCTACGACTCGACATATATATAGACCAGACTTAACTTATTATATCTAATAAAATAGAATAGAGACAAACCTTAAAAATGTTTAGAAAATAATATTATTTATTTTAAATAAAATTATTTTTTAAAATAATAAAATATTATTATTTTAATTATTTTCTTAATTCTTAAATACTTAAAATAGAATAACAGGTCTAGGTCAATATAGATCAAATAAATTTTATAGTTTGGTCTATATATCAAACTTAAAATATTTGTATGCCTATTTAAGTTTAAGTTTAAGTTTAACTATACCCAACTCATTTACATCCCAAGGGGTATTTAGCAGTAGCACCTCTTATTTGATTATTATATAAAATTTGTAAATTAAAAATTATTTATTTAAAAAAAATATGATATATCGAATAAATTCCTTCCAAGTTTTTGACTTTTCACTTCTTCTTTTTTTCTTCACTATGCATGAATTATTTTATATATTATTTAATTGAGATTGATAAGGAAAGTAATTAATACGTCATGATTGTAAAAATTAGGTCAGAAAAAATTGATTGGGCCAAAGGGATTAGAACGAGTGAAAAGAAATGAGGTAGTTGTTCGAAAATGAGAGCGCCCAAAATTCATAGCTCTGGGATATACAGGGGTTTAGCTGAGGTATTGCGAGTAGAGAAGCAAAGAAAGAATGCGTTTGCGTTGGATGATTTTCACTTCATTTTCCGCTCCACTTCCACTTCCACTTCGATTCCGATTTCGGTTTCAACCCTTTCAAACCCAATTTTATTATTCCCATTCTTATTCCACAAAATCAACTCTTGTTTCAGATGATTCCACCCACATTGATGACGCAACCGTTCGCGAAACGCTTGTCTCTTACAACAATGACTGGAAGCGCGCGCTCGAGTTCTTCAATTGGGTTGAGACCCAACACCACTTCCATCACTCCACCGACACCTTCAATCACATGCTCGACATTCTCGGTAAGTTCTTCGAGTTCCACTTATGTTGGGATTTGATTCATCGAATGCACAAGAAAAACCCTTCTTCTTTCCCCAATCACACCACCTTCCGCGTCATGTTCAAGCGTTATGTATCCGCTCACTCCGTCAATGAAGCTATTGACACTTTCCAACGACTTGGTGAGTTTAATTTGAAAGATCACACCTCCTTTTCTAACCTCATCGACGCACTCTGCGAGTACAAACACGTGCACGAAGCTCAAGATTTGATCTTTGGCAAGAACATGAGTGTCAGTGTTGATGGGGTTTTTGATGGGATTGGGGATACTAAGATCTACAACATGGTTCTTCGTGGGTGGTATAAATTGGGATGGTGGAGCAAGTGTTGGGAGTTTTGGGAGGAGATGGATAGAAAAGGGGTTCGTAAGGATCTACACTCTTATTCAATATATATGGATATCTTATGTAAAGGTGGCAAGCCTTGGAAGGCTGTGAAAATGTTTAAGGAGATGAAGAGCAAAGGTATCAAATTGGATGTGGTTGTCTATAACATTGTCATTCGAGCTATTGGTCTCTCACAAGGGGTTGATTTTTCGATTAGGGTCTTCCGTGAAATGAAGGAGTTGGGGCTCAACCCCACTGTTGTTACTTACAACACTATTATAAGGCTTTTGTGTGACAACCACAGACATAAGGAGGCACTTGCATTGCTTCGTAGCATGCCTGAAAATGGTTGCATCCCTAACACCATTTCCTATCATTGTTTTTTTGCTTCCCTGGAGAAGCCTAGAGAGATAATTGCCTTGTTTGATAGCATGATCGAAAGTGGAATTCGTCCCTGTATGGACACCTATGTTATGCTCATGAAGAAGTTTGGGAGATGGGGATTCCTTCGACTGGTTTTTTTAGTGTGGAGTAAAATGAATCAACTTGGTTGTAGTCCAGATGCTTCTGCTTACAATGCTTTGATAGATGCTCTTGTGGAAAAGGGGTTGATAGATATGGCTAGGAAGTACGATGAAGAGATGTTAGCGAAAGGACTTTCGCCTAAGCCGAGGAAAGAGTTGGGGACAAAGCTGGTGGAAGAAGAATCTGCTGATGAATTGTTCTTATGCAAGCATACAGACACACAAGTGTAAGCCATTCAAAAGATATTGAAATTCAATGGTTTATAGTCTTATTGTAGAGCATGTGAGCAGTGTGTAAGAAATCTTTACATGTATGTAACATTACTCATCAATATCAACCAATTTTGAAGTAATCACTTTTAAAATCCTAACACTCCATTTTTCTTCTTCCCTCCTCATTTTTAACTGCTCTGATCTGAAAACGGTCTCTCCCCCACTTGCTGTCCAGTTTGGAAGTATATTCAATTCCATGAGCTAACTCACATAAAGTATTGTCATAAAATCATCACACTAACAATAATTATATGACCATCCAAAGTATTGCTATTGGGAAGCTACCTTCACGTAACAGACATTTATCACTAGGCCAAAAGCTGTGATTGTTGTTAAGAAGACAATTTTATTTCCATATTGTGGCAACTGGCAACGCATGGCCCCATGTCATATTGTGCTACTGTGGGTCTTGAGGTGCTTTGCAGTGCAAACTTGGCACATCAGTAGGCTCGGCTGTCAAGCACCTTTGGTGTGCACCCATACACACATGGAGTCCAGGGATGATTGCTGGCGTCCAACAAAACCAACAGTTAGCAACTCACAAGTCATGATCTTATGGCAGTTGGTTTTCTGATGCTTATATTGGCAGTTGTTGGCATCAGTAAGTATATCATATCCTACATGGGAAGCTGTTTATTTCCTTAGAACAAAGAATTTTTTGGCTCACAATATTGTTTAAATTATTCATTCCAGTGATCGGAATTTTTGCTGGAAATTGACTGTCTATATGTAAGTGACTCAACTCCATTTGTTTATTTGTGAATTTTGTTCATGAATTGGTTGTCTATATAGTTCCATATTTTTTTTCTTTCTTTTGTGGTTCCTTTGTATTCTAACCCCAAATAAAATCTCTGCTGCTTGGTCTCCATGGGGTGGATCATTGTGACGGGCACTTGTACTTATATATCATGCGGTATATGTTTCATTGTTCAAAAGTAACTAATTTGTCTAATAAACTAATGCTCATTGAAATTGAACCATGGTTAATGCTTGTGTTGGTAACCTTGTACCCATATTTTTCTTTCTTTCTTTTGTGGTTCCTTTGTATTCTAACCCTAAATAAAATCTGTGCTGCTTGGTCTTCATTGGGTGGATCAATGTGACGGGCACTTGTATATCATGCAGTATATCTTTTATTGTTCAAAAGTAACTTCATCAATTCATGTAATTTCATGCACCAACTGAGTTTTCTCAATTTGTACGCGTTTGACCTTTAGGCAAAAGTATGGGTACAAGGTTACCAACACAAGCATTAACCTTGGTTCAATTTCAATGAGCATTAGTTTATTAGACAAATTAGTTTCCGAGATTCAAATTTCAAATTCCCATTAAGCTTCAAGCCATGTAATTGTTTCATTCTTTTCTTTATTTTCCATTTCCAGTGGGAGTGGCAGATACGTGCATTGCAATGGAAGATTAGCTTAATCAGCCACAAAATCATATGACTCTTAGCAAACTTCCTCCTTGTATGGATGAGGCCTTTGGACACAACCAGAAACATCTCCTTCCAAATAATCAAATTGATTAATGCATTTGTGGTTAATGTGGCCAATGCTGATGTGCGTTCTTTTGTGCAAGATATCTACTACAATCAATCTGGTTTTCTGGTTCTTCTGCCCCTCCTGTGCAATCCAATTTTCTCTAACATAACTGAACAGACATGTGACCTCCTTGAAGTGGACTTAAAAGAGTGCACCTACAGTAAGTTTTCGTCAAAAAATAAACCACTATTCTGAAGCTTTACAAATCTCCTGTTTGAGCATCATCTATAGTTTTAAAAATATAGAGTCATGTGCTATACTATAATAAAGTTGGGATACGTGGGGCGCCTACCATTGTGACTTTTGGAGAGGGTCGGATACACGTAACCATATTCTTGTGCGGGGATAAGCTATTTCATGGATTGTTTGTCCATTCAGGAGTGTTTAAATGGTATATTTGCGTGTTTGGTACGCGTTTGAAATTATTTTCCAACGTTGAGTTGTGTGCCCTGTCCCCAAGGAATTTTTTTTTTTTAATGAATGTCGTGTATTTATCTGCAGCACTTAATTTTTATTTTATTTTTAAATCCAATGCCACGGGATGTGTCCCTGGCACTGTTTGAATTTTAAAAACAGTGTTTGGATTTTTCGGAAAACACAGCGCTTGAAACTATTTATATACATGAGTTTCTGAAGTCTGAACCAGGAAATCAAAGACAACTTTGAAAAATTCAGTTTTTTTTTTCCTGCTTTTGGGGCTTCTCGCTGCCTTTGTGGTTTGGTTCTGCGTTTTTCTGTGTCATTTGGTGGGACGTATTAAAGCAGTGACTTTTATTATTTCTTTATTTTTCAAGTTTCACTGGGAAACAAGAAGTGCAGGCACTGAAGCTCCAAATCTCATTGCATTTAAAGCTTTCTGTATCAATTCTATGAATAGACAATTTATAGGCATTAACTCATCTCTGGCACTGTATTAAGTAGCTCTCAGTAAAGGCATTCAATAACACAGGCCATTTTGTTTTTGGAAGATAGATCTTCTTTTGGGGTGGGTTCATTTTTCAGCCTTTTGGAGAAAGAGTCATTTCCCCGATTTGCATTGGATTTTCTGCTCCCTTGGTGTGTAAGACATGTAAACACTCCATGTCCACTTTCTATTTTCCTTTTCTCTCTCTCACTACTATATATTTACATGTCCATGCTCTTTCTATATGTTTGGTTTTTAAGTTCTGATTTGATTTGAATGCTATAGTGTTGGTACCTCAGTTGGAGACATCATGGATACAAGTGATTGGATAGATCAACTGCAGTCTGAAACCCGCCAACTCATTTTCTATATGTAGGTCTAACTAACTTTCTTGTTGTGATCTTAATAGATTTTGCTTTCATGCCATTGGCGCTGTAAATTGGCAACGCCTGCATGAACTTTCTCGTCATATGTACACTATTGACTTATGTATGTACTTCTAGAGAGCAAAGCTTAGTATGGTTTATCTGGGGATTGCCTAATATTTTTTTTCCCTTTTGTTTTGCAGATTGGCGGCTACCTTAAAGAAACATCAATTATTAGTAGATGAAGGGGGATTGATTGAACTTCAAAAAATTGCTCGAACTATTGAGGAAAAAACTTACGCTGGTGCTACGAGCCAGGTGAGCCAATAATGTGGAGCCTCATATTTCAGAAATATAAAATATTAATGTAATCTTACGCCTTACCCAATAGCTTAAACTTTTGGTTTGAAATGGTTTCTTATATGATATCAAAGTCAATATGACTAAGTGATTCTGAGTTCGATTCTTACCGTCTCCATTCTATTAATAAAAATAATTAAATATTATGAAATTTCGTAGCACAATTAGGCTAGCCTACAAATGTTAGTATCAGAAGACTGAGCACGTAATGTGGCCAACCTATTTTTCTTTACCGTTTCATGGATTGCTTTCATACTAATTTCTTTTATGCTCCCTATTTTCAGGCTCATTATTTTCATAAAATAGATTTGAAGATGCTTTCAATAGAGGGTAAGTTTCTGACCATTATGGTCAACTCGACTCTATACCATCAAAATTCAATATTTATTAGCCATTTTAGGTTTTGAAGGTTTCTTTATCTCTTGAACGTCTAATTTTATGGTTTTTGAGGCTTAGCGTTGACAATAATAGTTGCTTTGTAGCTATTCCATACCATAGATGATAGAACCTTGAATTTTTTTTTGGGATTTTTAATTAACTAGCTTAACATCAACATGATCCACGAGATATATATATAGAGGTAGGATCCTTTGACACCTCATCTCAAAGCCGTTAGATCAAAAAAAATCAACGACTCTGATTTGTAAGCATGTGACACCATTGATCTTTTTTGATTTAACGGTTCTCAGATGAGGTGTCAAATTTAAAATTTGACATATAATGAATAGAGTTGTATAAATAAGAAGTAAAAATATAGCTTTTTGGATAATAGAATAAATAAAAATTTAAGTATAAATATGGATTGATGGGCACGTTAGTGCATGTTAATATACTAGTAGATATAAATACAATAGATGAGTAATTGATATTCATAAGAAAACCAGCAAAATAAATACATAATTAATTGTATTTATATTGGGATTTTAGTATTATTAAGATATTGTAATCTGAATAAGATGTGATATTCGTTCACACTTATTATGATAAGTAAATAGGTACAAGTAACATTTAAATTAATTTTAAATTTTAAAATTGAGAGTAATTGATAATTCATATGTATTGTTCAAAGAGATAAGGGATATTTTATTTAATTAAATCAAATAAGTTATCATTGAAATTTGAATTAAATTTATTATTTTTTAAAACTGAACTACAAAAAAATGATATTATATATCAAATGAATGTGAATTTGGAGGGAGAAAAAATCATTTATAACCTGTGACATTAATGCCACTTTCATGGACTGTGTTTTATTGTAGAGTACATAGATTATTTGGGTGTATGAAAAACCAAGTTGTTGATTCGGAAAATAATATATACACATCATACTTTTTACACCTTATTTATATCATTTCTCACACATAATTTCTATTATTAATTCTTAAAAAAAAATGTATCATTTCTTTGTATTAAATTGGTCTATTACTGTCTATCAAAAAAAAAAAAATTGGTCTATTACACAATGCATGATGTACTTTTACAAATTTTGATGTGCAACTATCTTTTTCTTATGGATTCGACTGATATTATTAAATGGCTAATTTTTGTTTTTGGCATAATTTTTGTTAATTGTCTGCATACTGTCTTATTCACATATACGTAGCTCATTAAAGTGTGTCCTTTTACAGATTTACATTATGCAATGATTTAAATGTTGTATTATTTGTACGTCAGTTAATTTATATTTGATATATACCAATAATTGGAAGCCTACGCTTCTTGGGCAACCCTTTACAGGAGCATGTGATTGGAGAATTCAACTGCATCCTGATTCCCGCCAAAGAATTCTCAACAAAACGTAAATTTCATGTTATGTTGTACCCGTGATCTGAATAACTTTAGCTTTGTTGCATTTTTGCACATAAAAGAAAAATTAGTCATAAACCACGTTCCATGAGGTTTCCCATGCATAACTAATTTGATCACAAAACATACATTTGGCAGAGGAACTGAAGCGGACAAACAGCACCACGGTTTATAAACAAAAAACTGATGTAAAAGCGTTGCTTGAAATTCTGTTTGATTTATCACAAACTATAATAATGTCTTTTCATTCTCTTTTGATATTTAACATACTTACCAATATTCCATATTTGATAGTCTATACTGGCCCTGGTGGCCTGAGTATCAATTTTTTAATTTATTCTAGATCAGTGTATGAGCTTTAGCAGGTCATTGTTGCATATAGTTTATGGTGGATGAGCATGTTTCATTGACAAATATGATGATTTCGATTTTCAAGGACTTTTTATGTGATAATCATGTCATTTGAGGGCCTTAAACATATCAATCACTTGTAGAGTGGACATGTTAAGAAGCCATCTTCCTGCTTCGATCCCAGAGAGAATGGATGAAATATGGAAGATTGCTCGATGGTGTGAAGAGAAGAGTTTTAATGTAGCAACAAGCCAGGTACATATATAATGACCTGCCTTAAGAGTTCCAGTTTTCATATATGGTTTGATGGTTTTATCCATGCAAACAGCCAAACACATTTATATGATATTGAAGATTTATAGATGTGGTATTCCCCAATTTCAGTCTGATTATCTTCGGAAACTATCTTTGATGATGCTTTCATTCGTTAATATATGCCAGCGATGCCATGGGCAACCATCAAATCAATTTGGCCATGACAATAAACCTCCCAATCCAGGTTGTATTGTTGTTAAAATCTCGATTTATCAGTACGATTTTACGTTTTTACGATTTTTTTTCATCAAAACGATTTTACTAATATTCCAAACGTTTTTACGATTTTTTTGCATTACGATTTTACGTTTTACAATTTTTTAATCTCCTTCCAATTTTACTTAAGATCTCGATTTTAACAATATTGTCAGGTTGGCATTTAAGAGCCTTGACATGTAATTCCAATGTGGCACCAAGGTGGCCTAAGCCTATTTTTGTGTTCTTTTAAATACTTGCTTAAATCTTTTCATATTGTTCTTGCGGTTATTATTTTTACTTTCTCAGTTGTTTCATCTTTCATGTCTGCTAGCTTAAGCTCTAGCTCTTGGGATTATGGTGTCTTAGTGCTTGAAAATTTATTAATATTGGATGTTGAAGGCCAATCTGAGGGAGCAGAGCAGCAGGAACAAAAGAAGGCCAATCTGGACTTGTGACTCTTGGGCTAGCTGAGGAGGGCAAGCGGTTGAAGCAATGTTGGTTGTAAAGGATAGAGTAGTTAACTATCTGTTGTAACTAATTTAACTGAATTGCATACCTGTTTGTATAGCTTCTGTTAGATAGGTTAGTGGGTCACTGTAGCTTTGTTAGATTGATTAGCGTTCAGCTGAAAGATTGACCCATTATCAATATTCAATAATGTAATTGAATAGGTATCAGTTCTTTTGTGAGCATTTGCTTTTGGAGTCCTTCAATGATATTCAGTGAGAATTCTGGTTCTGTCCCAATCCCAGTATCCCTATAGGGGTGTAAGTGGGCCATGTGGTTTAACAGGGCTTACGACATAGCCTATATCAAGTCAGACTCGATCTATTACATATAGGTAAATAGAACATGCTCAGGTTTAAAAAAAAAACTATTTAAAATGTAGGTCATAAGCTTTCTTTTACATGTCAGAGTTATAAATTTATAGGCCGACTTTATTTAATTATTTAATAAAATTATTTGTTTTAATAATTTTGAATAATAAAGTAATATTAATTTAATTATTTTTTTAATTATTGAATATCTAATAGGCTTAAATAAACTAATAAGCTTAGGTCAAAACTTTTTGTTTTTTAAATATAAGACATACTAAACTTATAATTTTGGCCCACACAAGTCTACTAAACTAGGCTAGGCCTAAAGTATTTTATATAGGCTCAATTTACTTAAATTAAAGTTCAGCCCAATTCATTTACACCCCTAGCTACATGCTAATAACCCTATATCTTCTTTTCTTGACAAATATGTGCTGGCTCATTTGGTGTTCAAATTAAAATCCATTTTCTAACACCATTTTTATTGGGTTTTTCAAATATTTGTTCCTTTTTAAAATATTGGGTTTGTTGCATTCGAAAAATTATAGATTACAATTACTTTATAAAATACCTAAAGTTATGTATGACTCAACATATTGATAATTTAACTACATTACTAAAAAAAAAATTAAATTGAATTGTATTGATTTTTATTATAAAATTAAACTTTGATTTAATTTAAAATAAATTAAAAATTATACACGCATGCATGTGCACGCACATATACATACATATATATTATAATAATAATAATAACAATTTAACAAATCTTTGAAAAATGTCTATATTTATTTAATTTTTTATTATACTTCAAAAAACTTTATTTTCACTCTTTTAAATTTTATTTTCACTCTTATATTAAATATATAATATATAATTGACACTTAATTTATACTAACATTTAAAAGTCAAATTTATATTTAATTGTGTTTTATAAAATTATTTAAATTCATATTTATTATATTTTAATGAATTAATTTAAAATTAGAGTTAATATATTTTTAGAAAATTATATTTATATATTACAAAAATTTAATCATTTGTATTATAGTATTTTTATTTATATTTTGTATTATTTTATTAAAAAATATAAGCCAAACCTGAAGGGATACCTTCTAAAATATGCTTATGGGCTTGTTTATGAGGAATTAGGTTAATGGCTGGTCAAACTATAAATCCCTTGAAAAGTAGAGTCTAATTACTTCAAAGAACACCACTTGCAATATTTTGAGTATAAAAAGAATATCTATATATCACATCAGTAATGAAAACAATAAAATAGAAAATTAATTTAATTTACTAAATAAATTTGTTTTTAAGAAAACCCTTATTTTATTTTATTTTTATTTTTTGGTAGATGAAAACCCTAATTTTTATTTTACTATTGCCTTGTTAGAAAAAATATTGTTTAAATTTTTTAAATAAAATATAGAGTAATCCATTGGCATTTCATTAGTTCAGTTTAATATTTATTGAGTTTAATTTTAATTTATTAGATTACTAAAATTGTATAACTAAGATGACATTTAGTTAATTATGCCAAACAGACATAACAAATTGGATAAAAAAAACAACTTATTAAACTCAATTAAATTAATGAAAAGAACAATGTGTGTCTTCAAGCGTTGTGCATGCATTTTATGCATCTGTTGCTTTGCATGCATACTCTCTCTCTCTCTCTACAGAGACTCCCTCATCCCTTAATTTCATACATGCCCATGTTTTCTCTCTCTAAAACTAAGGTCAATTTTCATTACCCTTTGGTGATTTCTCTCTGTTCTTCTTCATTGTTTTGCCTCTGTTATTCTTCAGCTTAATGCTCATATAACAGATGGTGTCTGTGGTTGCAGTCTTGCAGATATTTGAGCAGATGCAAAGTCCGGTTCTTTTTTGTTCTTGTGAATGGTCCATTCCTAGACATGTGTGACGGAACAAGTGAGAGTGAAAATAAAAGTATATAAAAGTTGTCTAATTCTTTTATAAAAAAAAATGTGTTGTATAAAGCCGTCATTAAAAATAATTATAGCACGAATCCAAATTATAATGTGACTTATAAAAAAAATTGTTATAAGGGGAAAAAATTGGTCAAAAAAATCCAAATTAGAAAATGATTGATGTTTTATTATGAAGGAAAAAATTAAATAAAGATTGAAATGTAATAAACAATTCTTAAAAATAAAATATTAATTTAGGCATTGAGTGTCATTACTTCAAAAACTATCAGCCTCAATATTTAGAGTTTTTTTATGTATAAAAAAAAAAAACCATGTATCACATGGGTAATGATTAATGAAGCTAATAAAGTTTAAAATTAAGACAATCTATTAAGTAAATCTATTTCTTGACAAAACCTAAATTTTTTTAATTTCATAGTTTGCGTATTAGAAAAAAAATAGATATTTAAATGATATTAATTTAATTTGACGGCCTATCCCGTTTAATTTAATAAACAAACTGAGTTAGTTCAATCCATGCTAATATTTTTATAATATTATTTATTTTTTTAATTAAAAGACAGGATTTGGAAAGACTAATTCATTCTTATCAGCTTAGTTTGATATTTTTATATTATTTATAGAGTTTAATTTTAATTTATTTTTCTTTTGAAAAGTTTTATACCTTTTTTTTTTTTTTTGATAGACGAAAAGTTTTATACCTTATTTCATAATTATATCATAAGATCACTAAAAAATTATTATAAAGAACATCTACTTAATGATACAAATTGCACACAGAAAATGGACTAAATTGAAAAAAAAGAAATTTTATATTCTCAAATTAAATTAAAAATAGAAAATTCAATTACTAAAAAATAAAATATTAAACATTTTTTATACATTATTAAATAATTCTATAACCCAATAAAAATATCATCACTAAAATTAAAAATAAATTCAAAAATAATACACGCATGCTTCTAAATCATTTTAAGTGCATTACTTAATGAAAATTTACATATTTTTGTGATGTAAATTTTACATTATCATTATTTATTTAAGAGATTGACATATTTGAATATCGGGAGAGTTGTATTTATAATTTTTTTGTTTACAAATTTTTATAAATTACACATTATATATGTACTCTTGGGAATACACGTAAGAGGGTGTATTAGATTAGGAATTTAAAAAAAAATTGAGATAAAAAATCTTATAAATTTTAAAAAAACTATTTAGAATTGTAGGGACTTTTAAGATTTTTTTAAAACACTTATTTTACAATCAAGATTTCATAATATTGGATTTTAAAGGATTTTAATAGAATTTATAAGATTTGAAATGACAATATAGATTTATAAGATTTTAAAAAACTACATGAATTTTTAACAAATATTTAAAAATTACAAAAGTCAATAAAAAAGTAACAAAGAAATGCAATAATATTAATAAAAATATAAAACATAATATAATTTTCTCAATCAGTAAAACATAAATAATTTTTAACAAACATTCAAAATTTCTAAACAACAGCTCTCCACATATCTAAAGTTATATTAGTCTCCGCGCATTAGCATTTTCTCATTCATGCTCTTGGATTTGACCAATGGGTTGAAAATTATCTTTTTCAATTGGTATCAGAGCTATGCATATATGATTATAAACTCAATTTTTTTTTTTATTAAAACAATTCTAAATTTGCATATAGAACCTAAAGGTCATGATAAAATTTTGTTTGAAATTTTTTGCAATTGATCTTGGAAATCTTGGGATTTTTGTTCTACGTGATGAGAGTTTTTTAACCATATATCATTTGCATATTTACATTGAGTATTCTAAGAAAATTTTGAATCTGAATTTTTGGATTTTACTTATGAAAGTTCAGAAAATTTCTTAAATTATTTCCAATCGATACATTGAAACCTTAAGTTGCTTTAAGGCTTTTGAAAAAATAAGTTTTTAGTTATCTATTGACACAAAAAAATGTTTGAAATCGTTTCTTATAGCGAAAGAATTTTGTTCATGAATGTATTGTTACAAAATATAGGTTCATAATACGAAAGTTTCAATCTTTCTTTAAATTGATATTGTTTCATTGATGTAAAATGAAAAATGGTTTGAGGATTTTAGTTCCGTTGTTATTTTTCCAATATTTTATGTTGTTTTTAATACAAAAGTCATATATTTTTGTGCCAAGAAAAATCGCGACTAATAATTTGAAAAATTATTTTCTAAACTTTCAAAAGCTCCCAAAATTTGCAAAAAAATCTATTGTTTTTTAGATGGATTATATTAGAATGTTGTTGGATTGTTCAAAAATTTGAGCTGTGATGAAGCTCCCATAGCAGAACTCGGTTTCGAGCGGCTCAACCCGTCAAAGAAAGAAATAGATAAATCTCAAAAACATTTGAGGGTTAGGGTGATTGTGAGAGACACATTCTATCTATATTTTTCATTAAAAAGTCTCATGAAATCCAAATCAATAGAAAATTCATTAAAATCATCACATTTTTGAATACTACTACAAGATTATTTTTCCGTAGTTTAAAATCCTGATTGAACACCAACGGATTTTGATGGATTCTAAAATAATATTTTAAAATTCTAATCGAATACTACGTGACTTTTTTTCAATCCTTTAAAATCTTAATTGAATACCAATGAATTTTTTGTCAAAAAACAATCAATTAAAACTTTTTGAAATCTCAATCAATACATCTTCTTACTTAGAAATATACTCCTCGGAGTATATACTATAGTTTATAAATAAAAAGTTTGTAAATAATATTTCTCTTTAAATATTTAAAAATAGTTTTATAATGAAAAAACAAAGTATAAAAAATGATATAATAAAGAAGAAGAATAAGATAATTACCAAAAAAAAAGAAAAGAATAAGAATAAGAACTGCGTAAGAATGCGAAACTATATATAAAATCAAGATAGTTCTACTTTGGCATCTTGGTTAAAAGATTTAAGACCATATCATTTATAAAATCTTTTATTGTTGGATTTAATATTTACTCATATTTAAAAGCCCTTATAAGACGGTAGCCTTTATTATTGCTGAGCCTTAATATTTACTCATATTGCTGAGCCCTTATAAGCTCTCGAGTCAGACACGCAACCGTCAACCACCACCCTTCACGCACGCCACCACCGCCATATTCGCTGTCACCGTCCACCACCTTCAGGTTATCTCTCATCTCTGTGTTTTTATTTATCCGATGAACAGAGTTCCTCGTTGATATTGATCTTGATTAGAAAAATCTTAATATCAGATTCTTGATTGGTAATGTTTAATTGAAAGGCTGAGAAGGAAAGAGGTGTATTTCGAATCATCGGGATGTAAATAGGGGAAATAAGACTCGAGATCTTCCAAGGATGATAATCATCCTTTGTAGTTAAAATTTGGAGAATAATAGATTAATTGGAGTAACTCTGGATAGGATGATACAATATTTGAATTTTGTTCTTTCCAATAAAATTACTTTCTGGATAACAAATTTAGTTTCGGCTTACATTTTATTCTCTTGGAAGAGAATTATTATTTTTGGATGCATCCTAGGTATAAGTTCAGTAAATTAGCGTTCTTAGTCGTAAAACCGTTGTCTGTTGATGAAAAAAAATTATTTGTTTTATTGCTTTGACTGCAGTTTATGGAATCTTCTCAATTGGAAATCTTCAATCAATTTAGAGCGTGTTGGTTTAATGATTTAGGTTATAATTATGTTTTAAGCTGTAAGGGTAGTGCTGATAACCATTCGTTAAATATCTTTAATGCTTATTAGTTTGATCGCAATCTGTGGAATCTTCGTAAGTTTCTGGGAACCCATGCTTCATTATCTTTTCCTTTCTTTTACGGTTGACATTTTTTGTGCATTAAAGATATACTAATGGTAATATTGCTTGTATTAAACCACTAAAAGCCTGTATAAAGTGTAAACTGTATGATCCTTCTCACTCCTTTGTCCACGGTGACTACAACTTAAGCTTCTCCTTCCCCTTGGAATCTTTTTTTTTTTTTTTTTTATCTTTATCTTTTTAATGCTTCTACAGATACATTTTCCCTTTATATGCTCTGCTTTCAGAGTCTGATTTGACGAGAACATTCTGTTTTTATGTTTCAGGTAATTTAGAATTGATGGATACCAATAATTGGAGACCTAATCAAGGCAATGAACCCAATATGGATGCTAATGAATGGAGAGGTCAACTGCAGCCTGAGTCACGCCAAAGAATTGTGAACAAAATGTGAGCTTCAGATTCAACATTGTATCACTGATGTGATTTTTAGTTATTGACCATTGTTGCATATCAAAAGAACAATAAAAGGATATAAATCATTGGTTCCATAGATTGACAACTTTTCAATAAGGTTTCTGGTTCTTTTTCTCCAAGGAAAGAAAAATAAATATATGGTGTAAGAACATAAACAAACACTGTAATTGTCTAATGCATATATATTATGAAACTTGTGCTCCAATTTCCATTTGGTAGGTGAAGAACAATAATAAGATCTGTTCTTTTTTATGCCAAACAAATGTTTATTTGAATCTGTGATGAATATTGATTTTTCAATGTCATATTCAAAGTCCATGCATGAGCTTTGGCATGTCAGTGTCACACATACTTCCAAGATGTTACCAACGCAATCTCTTCACTCTGTAATCCATTTCAGACATCCATTCTACTATATTTTTTTTGAGTGTGTGTTGGGGGATTATGAGAATACTGGCATGATGATTTCAATGAGGTCTTATGATGGGAATGATCCTAGCAGTTGAGAGAAACATAAGTTTCAACAGAAGAAACCTGATATTGATATTAATGAAATGGAAACAGAACCTACATGAAAATGGAAATGGAAAATAAAATAGACAAGCAAAATAATAGCTTCCTAGAGTGTTCAAACTCTCTCGAGCTTTCCACAATTCTAAAACACCACCCACCTCTAATTCTCCTACCCTCTCGTATATATTCTACCATGCAACTGTATATCTTTTCCCAAATCTTCTCTCAATCACAAGTCAGCATGAGGAGGTGTCTGATCCTCTGTGGCTCATGCTTGTGTACACTTGTTTAGGCTTCCTATCATCTTCTTACATGATACAAATCTTCTCTCATTTGCAGATTGTTTAATGACAGTAACATCTCAATAATTTGTGTTATTTAATTATTAAACTTTTCTTTTTCTTTTTTGTAGAATGGACACATTAAAAAGACATCTTCCTGTTTCTGGTCAAGAGGGATTGCATGAACTTCGGAAGATTGCTCAAAGGTTTGAAGAGAAGATTTTTACTGCTGCAACAAGCCAGGTACAACATCTCTAATTTGTATCGTCGCAATGATCAATTTAAGGTTACCTATACAAACACATACAATATGGAAGATTTATAACATACTGTGGTATCCCCTAATTTCAGTCTGATTATCTACGGAAAATATCTTTGAAGATGCTTACAATGGAGACTAAATCCCAAGGCACCATGGCCAACAATATGCCATTGAATCAAGGTGGCCCTAGCAATCAACCTCCTGATCCAGGTTAGCGTTTACCTTGGCATGGTGAAAATGTTCTGATAGTATCTGACTCTCTGAGTTCTTTCTTGTCTTTCAGCTTAAGCTTTTGGGACCTATGTTGTACTGACACCGATACACGATACGACACGACACTTCGACACGTTAATTCTAAAAAAGTTAGATTTCGATACGTTAAGACACGTTTTGATATTAAATAATATTTTAAATTTATGTAGTGTATATTATATTTAATATTCAATAATTTAACAAAAAAATAAAGCTAAACTTATAATACCCATCAATTTTGCAAAGAAACATAAGATGTAAATGTTTACTATTATATTTTCAAATTGAAAATCTCTTATACACTCTAGTGAGATTTATTCGTTATCCATTTTTAATTTTTCTTATATCAGTTTTGGTAAAACATCGATCAATTTTTTAATGATATGCAATGAAATTTCAAATATTATAGATGTCGGAATGTGTCAGAGTGTCAGACACGACACTTCAGGTTTTTTGAAGTGTTGGTGCAACATATGTTAGGACTATAGGCCTGTTTTTTCTTTTTTAAGGAAAAAAGTCCTTTAATAATTAGAAATTTTTGATAGTAGATAATGTAAAAAAAAAAAAAAAAATTGTCCAAAAAAATTTTTTTTTTCATGCTTTTCACAAAACCTAAAAAAGGCTAGGTAAAAAGCTCTATCATAAAAGCACTTTTTTCAAAACATATCCAAACACACCATATTGTGTCCTATTGTTTTGAAATATCATTAATACTAAGTTTCTACTCTACTGGTCTTAAATATGATCCTTTCCCTTTGTCTTTAATCTCTTTAAAATTTTTACATTGATATCATTCTTGTGTTGCTGACAATTCATTTGGATTCTGATGTTATATGCTAAATCATGTTTTTTTTGGTTTCTCTGACTTGTGCAATCATTATTTTTTTAATAGGGCTTGTTATGCAGCCTCAAGTTCACAATCCAGGGCCACAACATCCTATTTCTTTGTCTAATCAGCCCCAGTCACGCCAACAGATTCTATCTCAGAACATTCAAAATAATATTGCATCTCAACCTAATTTGCCACCTGTATCTAGTCTAGCTCAGACTCCCATACAAAATGTTGGCCAGAATTCCAATATGCAGAACATACCTGGACAGAATTCTGTGGGGAGCACTATTGGCCAGAATCCCCACATGCAAAATATGTTTGCTGGTTCCCAGAGACAAATGCAAGGAAGGCAGCAGGTTGTTCCCCAACAACAACAGCAGCAGTCACAGAATCCACAGCAGTATCTGTACCAACAGCAACAGCTTCAACAACAGCTTTTGAAGCATAAGATGCAGCTGCAGCAGCAGCAGCAGCAGCAACAGCAACAGCAACAGCAGAACCTTCTACAATCAAATCAGTTGCAATCTTCTCAGCAATCTGTCATGCAAACACCATCGGTTATGCAGCAGCCTTCCATGATGCAAACACCTTCTCTGTCTAGCATTCAGCACAATCAGCAGTCTAATAATATTCAACAGTCAACACAGTCCATGCTTCAGCAACACCCCCAAGTTATCAGGCAACAGCCACAACAACAGACTTCTATTATTCATCAGCAACAAACACCAATGACTCAACAATCAATATTGCCTACACAACAGCAGCAGCAACAGCTTATGGGGCCACAGGCAAGTGCAACAAACATGCAACATACCCAGATGCTTGGGCCACAGAATAATGTTGGTGATTTGCAGCAACCACAGAGGTTACTTGTACAGCAGAATAATCTTTCAAACCTGCAACAGCAACAGTTAATAAATCAGCAAAACAACTTATCAAATATACATCAGCCATTGGGAAATAATGTCCCTGGGTTACAGCCACAGCAAGTCCTTGGACCTCAATCTGGCAACTCAGGCATGCAAACAAGCCAGCACTCTGCACATGTCCTACAACAATCAAAGGTCCCAAATCAGCAGCAATCACAGCAAAATCCATCAAATTTGTTATCATCTCAATCGCAGCAGTCACAGCCACAGGCTTCACAGCAGCAATTGATGCCACAGATTCAATCTCAGCCTGCACAGTTGCAACAGCAATTGGGTTTGCAACAGCAGTCAAATCCCTTGCAACGAGATATGCAGCAAAGACTTCAGGCATCGGGTTCCTTAATTCATCAACCAAGTGTTCTTGATCAACAAAAGCATTTATATCAATCACAAAGACCCCTTCCAGAAACTTCATCAAGTATGTAAAATTGCGATTATGCATTTTTCTTTGTCTTTTATCTTTTGTCAATTGATGGTTCCAAGGTTGTCAAACTCGTAGATCCTACTTACTACCTAGGATCATTTGGGGGTAGACATGTAAATTGTGAGATTGTGACACTCCCTCTAACATAAAATAATAATAATAATAACAGAAACAGGCAGAATAACTTTAAAATCACAATTAACTTTAAAATAAACTCTTATTTTAAATACATAATACATGTAAGTCTGTAAGAAGGCCTAATCCCTGTTTACCCTAAAAAGGTGGTCTAAGCACTCTAACAAGACAAAGGTTACAAGTAGTTACAAATCACAACATTTAAAAACAAAATACATTTTAGTGAATTGCAAGGGCTGGGCAGCAAAGTGTAATACAATAAAAACAGAAGCAAGAACAGGACAACAAGGATTTTCTGAATATATATTATATGTATATATATATATATTTTTGTTCCTTTTCTTTTCTAATTTTTTATGTTTTGAAATAAAGATAATCAGCCAGAGACAAAATTGCACAACACCTCTTGTAAAATTAATGCAATATAACGTTTCCTAACTAAGAAGTCGTTGTGCCAGAGTCTCAAGGTCAAGGGCTAGAGCAGAACACCACCACCTCCTGAAAACTAAATCACAAAGGCAGGCCAAACCATAAGCAATGGTAGAACAGTAGCACAGAACTCACTCCCATTGTCATGTTTCAGATCAATAAACTCAAGAGTTTCTGTTTTGATCAGTGAGGGTTGTGGCAGATAAGAGGGATTTAGTAGAATAATGTAGTTATAAGTTAATTTGCAATTACCTCATCCAATCTTTAATTTTATTTTTTAACTAAAGAAGCAAATATCCAGATTTTTTAGCCTTGCATGCTTATCTATATATCACATAATAACTGTTGTAGGTTCTCTGGATTCAACGGCACAGACTGGACAGCCAGGTGATTGGCAAGAAGAAGTGTATCAAAAGGTAATATGCTCTTTTCTTATCATATTTTTCTTCAGTAAGTTGGGTTGAACATCAGAAATTCATCAAAGAAACCGTAAAATAAAATAATGAAGATTGAGAGTTTTATTGTGAAGAATTTTCTTAATAGTCTTTTGAGGAAAATATGATGGAAACTCTTCTTAAATCCATACTGCTCAATGTTTATGCTGAATTTTTTTATTACTACCTTTTATCCTCTATAAGTTGCTGGCATCAAGAAAGACTCCTTATAATTATTTATCTGATTCTGTGTTGATATGAATGATATTGCATTGGTACCTTTCAAAAGTTTTCAATTCAATATTCAAAGCTATTGTCTCATGGCTACCTACATGCATGGTTTACATCCTCTCAGTTTAAGCATGAAAATGAAACTTGCGAGATGCCTAACAAAAGGACGAGAAAAAAATTTCTTATCCTTTCTATGTATATTGATGCAATCGCATTACTGATGTGTTTGCATGAGAGATTTCAAGGTTTCTGATGCATTATTATTTGATTCTGATGATTTTAAATTACAGATCAAAACCTTGAAAGAAAATTACTTGCCAGAGTTGAATGAAGTGTACCAGAAAATTGCTACTAAACTTCAGCAGGTATGTTTTTAAGGCAACTTTCTAAAAGCCGCTGTGGATAAAGAAGCCTTTCCCGTTATAATTATCCTGGATTGCAGTGCGTGCTAAGCATTATTAAGTCATCACCCTTCCTTTAAGGAAGCCCTTTATTACTTTCGTGTTTCCTTATAACTTATTTTTACTGTGTTTAACCTTGTATCTTCTCTTGTCTATCAGCACGATTCCCTTCCCAACCAACCAAAGTCGGATCAGCTTGAAAAGCTGAAGGTATTTAAAATTATGTTGGAGCGCATTATAACATTCCTCCAGGTTTCTAAGAGCAACATTACACCTCATTTCAAGGAGAAACTTGGTCCATATGAGAAGCAGATTATAAATTTCATAAATACAAATAGGCCTAGGAAAGCAATGTCTTCACTGCAGCCAGGACAGCTTCCCCCTCCACATATGCACTCCCTGTCACAGTCACAATCCCAAGTTACTCAGGTGCAGTCTCATGAAAATCAAATGAACTCTCAGTTGCAAACGACCAATATACAAGGTTCTGTAGCAACAATGCAGCAGAGTAATATGACAAGCATGCAGCATAATTCTCTGTCTGGGTTATCCACAACACAGCAGAATATGATGAATTCAATGCAAACTAGTACCAATTTGGATTCAGGACAAGGAAATGCTATGAACTCCCTACAGCAGGTTCCAGTGAGCTCCCTTCAACAAAACCCTGTTAGCGCTCCTCAGCAAACTAATGTTAACTCCTTATCTTCACAAGCTGGGGTAAATGTGATCCAACCAAATCTTAATCCCCTTCAGCCAGGTTCAAGTATACTTCAACACCAGCAACTAAAACAACATCAGGAACAGCAGATGTTACAGAGTCAACAATTCAAACAACAATTTCATCAGCGGCAATTGATGCAGAGGCAGCAGATGCTACAGCAGCCCCAACAGCAGCAGCAGTTACACCAGCCAGCAAAGCAACAACTTCCTGCACAATTGCAGACACATCAAATGCAACAACTTCACCAAATGAATGATGTGAATGACATAAAGATGAGGCAAGGAGTTGGTGTTAAGCCAGGGGTCTTTCAGCAACATCTTGCTTCCAATCAACGCACAGCTTATCCCCATCAACAGTTGAAACAAGGGAGTCCTTTTTCTGTTTCTTCACCCCAAATCCTTCAGGCTGCATCTCCTCAGATTACCCAACATTCATCTCCTCAGGTTGACCAACAAAATCATCTTCCATCTCTCACAAAAGTTGCTACCCCTCTGCAATCTGCCAACTCACCTTTTGTAGTACCCACTCCTTCACCTCCCTTGGCTCCATCTCCTATGCCAGGAGATTCTGAAAAGCCCATTTCTGGTGTTTCATCAATATCAAATGCTGCAAATATTGGACATCAACAAACTGGGGTTGCAGCAGCACCTGTTCAATCCCTTGCCATTGGAACTCCTGGGATATCAGCTTCTCCTTTACTGGCAGAGTTCACTGGTCCAGATGGTTCTCACAGTAATGCTTTAGCACCTACTTCTGGAAAGTCAACGGTTAATGAGCAGCCTCTAGAACGCCTAATTAAAGCGGTTAGTCTGGCAGATCTTAAGCTGGCCTGATCAGTGGCTGTGACCTTTAATTATTTTACGAATATGACAAATAAATTACATGAACGTTTCCATTGTTATTCTAATGTTTAAATTTTGGAGTTATAGATGACAAATATATGTCTAATCATGATTCCAGGTGAAATCAATGTCACATAAAGCATTAAGTGCTGCTGTCAGTGATATTGGTTCAGTTGTCAGCATGAACGATAGGATAGCAGGATCAGCCCCAGGTAATGGATCCAGAGCTGCTGTTGGTGAAGATTTGGTTGCCATGACTAATTGTCGTCTTCAGGCTAGAAATTTCATCACCCAAGATGGTGCCAATGGAACCAAGAGGATGAAGCGCTATACCAACGCCATGCCCTTAAATGTTGTTGCATCTGCAGGTGGCATGAATGGTAGTATCAAGCAGGTAACTGCTTTGGAGGCTTCTGATTTGGAGTCAACTGCAACATCTAGTATCAAGAAGCCAAGGATTGAGGTACTAATCTTTTTTTTTAATTGTTACATTTTATTTTATAATTGACATCTTTTACTATCAGTGTCTTAATTTTTGGGCTTGCCATTGCAATTATTAATGGGCATCAACATATGTAATATATATGCACCAACATTATGTACATTACTTTTTCACCCTTTCTTTCAACTAGAATGTTTCTCCCAGCTAAAAGTTTGCATCTTGATATTTCTGACTACAAGGATTTAGACTCAAAAAAATGCAGCTAGTTCAATTTACAAATGTGTAGAAAAGCACACTTTCATGTTCTCATTTGGATAGTGAAACATATCATATAGGGACTATATATCAAAATTCAGTACTAGAAAGGAGTTGTTGATGTTGATGTTGATATCAAAATTCACTGGCAATTTCCATCTACTGGAGTCAACCAATTAAATTAGAGCTTTTGATGCCTGAAATTCTAACACAATTAGTGCAACACATAAGATACCGGCTGGGACAAGCGGAAAGGAATAATCACATGGTGCGATATTTGAAAAAATGTATAAAGCCTAAGTAATTTGCAACTACCAACATTTTGTACATATATCAAAAGATAAAATTAATTTGTACCATTGATTATGATGTATTCATGACATTACTGTATAGCTGTTAACTTATGAAGTAAAAATTTGAGATGGGAATTACTGAAATAGATTTTCTTTTTGATATTAATTGGATCAATTTAATAAGTAGACTTGCCTTTTAAAGATGGGATTAATATTTCTTATGTTGTAAGAGATAATTTTATCTCCAACATACACATAAAAATGTGTGGAGCTATGTGTAGAGAAGAGAGAGAAAAAAAAACATGGACCCCACACACTTTTATGTATGTATAAGAGATAAAATTATCTCCTACAACATGAGAACATTAATCCCTTTAAAGATTCAAGTGTGACTAAATGGTAGGGTAAAATAATAACAATCACAACCAATCAAGAGAAACAACTAGAGCAATAGTAGTATTGGTTGTAAATTTGTAATAGCATGCAACAATAGCAGTTATACTAGTGGTTAGGCTGATTCTTCTTGTTAATTTTTAATTAATTTGATTGATAATTTGTCTCATTTTTATTATCCTCCCCATTTAAGAACACTAATCAAGGGTTACATGAGCTTAGAACATGGAACCTATTCCTGTTTTGTGTAACTCTCGTATTTAGTCTTGAATTGTTGACCTGGGTATTCAATTGGATTCATTATATAATGACCAGGATTTTGCATGATCTGGATTAGCCGTGGACATCTGTTTCGTTAGAGCATGATGATTCATTGGATAATAAGTTTTAAAGTAATTCTAAAGTTACGATTGCGAGGGAATCACTTTAAAATTTATGGATTTTCTCTAGACAATCTTACTGCTGATAAAAAATTTGTGTCTTATATGGCAGGCCAATCATGCCCTTTTGGAAGAAATTAAGGAGGTTAATCAGCAACTTATTGACACTATAGTAGACATAAGTGATGAAGAAGTTGATCCAACTGCAGCTGCTGCTGCTGCTGAAGGAGCAGAAGGGACCATAGTCAAATGTTCTTTCAGTGCTGTGGCGCTCAGCCCAAGCTTAAAATCCCAATATGCTTCAGCACAGATGGTGAGCTCTCAGAACTTCTAAACCATGTACATCCCAAGTATTTCTTTTTCTTTTTTGTAAAAAAACTGTCCTTATTTGTGTTTTACTACCATGCAGTCACCAATTCAACCCCTGCGCTTACTTGTGCCTACAAATTATCCTAATTGTTCCCCCATACTTCTAGACAAGTTTCCAGTTGAATCCAGGTGAGATAATAAACATTTTGGCGTCTCTTATTTGTGTTATTTTTCTATAAAAGAAAAATTCTATATTCTCAACAAACCATGAATTATCATGACAGTTATGTTCTTTGTTTGCTTTTATCAACAAAAGGAGAAATATAATGTTCTCATCTTCCAAAACTTTTTGTGATTTTGAGTTATGACTCTTTTAACTATTTTCATGCATGAAACATTTGTCTGCTTCATCGCATCAGACTGAGTAAAGTAGTTAATGCTGAGGGGTGTCTCTTATTTTTTGTTCTTGTATTGATTAAAATTCTGAATCACGAGGTATAGAAAACACATGTAAAGAGAAAAATATCCTATGCATCTCCCAAATTACAATAATAACAAAAAATAGTCTTTTTCCACTAGGTGAGGTCAGCTACATGGGTCAATCGTCATCATTGTGTTATGTCATAAGTCAAGTCTTTCAAACAAAGGTCATTTAGGTCTAGTCCATTTTAATAGTTTCACCCAGAGTTTTTCTTGGTCTTCCTCTACCTCTTGCTGTGGGGAAATCCTTCACCTGATTTTCTTTTTTTATTGGGGCTTCTGTTAATCTTCTTCTCAAATGGCCAAACCACCTTAAGGGAGATTGTACCATCTTTTTTTCTCAGTGCTGCCCCTACTCAAATTTCTTACGAAAAATAAAATGCAAAGACCATGACCATTTTGGAAATAACATTTGTGATTTTAGAAAAACTTATCTTTTAGTTATGCCTCAAATTCATCCTCTACTGCTTAGAGAAGAATGTGATTTTAAATCTAACATGGAAGATGGCAAGAGAAGTTTTGCCTGAGAGACACATCTAACTCTGATGTGCTAATGAGACTGGCCATTTTAATCTTAACTGTCCTCTGAAATGTTTGTTGACTCTCCTTCCTAACAAAAATTATCAACACAATGCATGTCTCACTTTCCCCATCTCCGTAGTTTATCTTAGAATTGCTAAAATTCTTCTGTTTCTAATAAATAGAAGTGGTATTGGATATTTCTGTCAGTAAGGAGAATGAAGATCTTTCCGCGAAAGCAAAGTCAAGGTTTAGCATATCCTTGCGAAGTTTATCACAACCTATGACCCTTGGGGAGATAGCAAGGACTTGGGATATTTGTGCTCGCACAGTTATTTGTGAGCATGCACAGCAGAGCGGTGGAGGGAGTTTCAGCTCCAAGTATGGGACTTGGGAGAATTGCTTGACCACATGATGATACCATGTTCCATGCAAACCTTTTTTGTTTTTGTCTTGAAACTTGCCGAAGCTTCTGTCAATCATTGGATGCGCAGTTTTTGGGTGTAGATGAAAGCGGTTATGGAAGTAAGTGCATGATGTCAATTTCGTCCCATTTTAGTGGAATTATTTCATGCATAATTCTGTATTAAGTATATAATCCAGTTTCTTATTTGTGGACTTCACAAGTTTCGGTATACAAGCTTAAGATGCTCGATGTAGTAAATGTGTGTGACTTAAATCAGATTGCCTTTTGCCGAGGCCTTGTTCATAACTTACAGAGTAGCTCACTAGTTTTGCCATGATATACTATAATTTTTGTCTTTCAAAAGCTAAGTTCATAAAGTTGCGAGGATCATGAATAGTTTTAGGGTCCCTTTCTTCTCATATTGTAGGAGAAAGATAGACACAAGATATGATAGGTTCTATTACTCATTAAAAATAAAAAATAAAAAAATATTGTTACACACAATTCGATAGATTGAGTTTTATATCTTTAAGATACGTTTCCAAGATAAGAGTTTTTTAAGGCTGAGGTATAAATTAAACTCAAGTTTACTGTATTTCTTATGGAAAATGTTTTTGTCTCACGTAACACACAAAAAAGTGGGTGAGATTTACTTTTTCCCTTTCTCTCTCTTCTTCTTAGTGGGTTTTATCTATTTTTTTTTGTGTTACATGAGACAAATTTTTTCATGCAATATGAGAAAAATATTTTTTATAGAAATATAATTCTAATGATGAGGAATGGGTGACAAGGACTGAATCATGGGGTCATTAAGTAAAAGTTTAATCTATCTTGTGAAGGTTCATGTATATTTATTTTTTTAATTAGTTTAGACAGAAATGTGTTAAATATTTAAAAGAGTTATATTTTTATTTTCTGAACATGTTACGTAATACTAATTTATATAGAGGTAAAATTAACTTTTTTTTATGGTTTATTCTATAATCATTCTATCTTATACTTTTTATTGCTTATCACTTATAATTTTTCTGATTTTTTTGTTTAAATTTTTAGAAATTTTGATTTATAAATCTGAAAATGTTAAAAAAAATTAACAGCCTAGGATTTATTTATTTTTTTTCAAACTATTTTAAGTTTCATATTTACATAAATTTAAAATTTTAAAGAGAGGAGGATAAAAAAATGTAATCAGTCGATTTGCATCTCCGCTTAATTTCACCCAAATAAAATTAAGTGATTTTATAATAAATTAAGGGAGAGATATTTGAAGTTTACTCCCTCAAATAAAAAGATTTCAAATGAAACATTTTTAAGAGCAATGACTGAGGAAGGAATAAATAATGCTGAAAATATAAAATATAGTTGGAATACAAACAGAGATTCAATTTTTATTTTTATTTTTTAACTTCGACTGCACTTTTTCACTTAATAGCATTTCGGTTTCTCAAGTTTTTTCAGCTAGTTTTTAATTACAAACTTAAAAAAAAAAAAAAATACTCTTTTAACTTATGTTCGAGTTCTAAAAATAATATATATTTCATGAAGCAAATCAAATGTCGTTTATGTTATTCATGTGACTTTTCTCTAAAATTAACAAAAAAATTTTATACTTATCCTAATTATTTTTTTGAGGTAAGTCAGTCTTTGATTATTCTAACAAGCCAGTGAAAATTAAACTCAGATTCTTTCTCACCTACTTAGCCAGTGACTATACTCAGTAAGTTAGGAACAAATCTTTTGTATAATATGCTAACATTTTTTAATAAAGTCTATTTAAGAGTTGTAATATATTTCCACTATAATCAACCAGTCACATCAACGGATCTTGCACAAATATAACCTTTTTATGTTACTAAATAACATATAGAATTATCATTCATGGTCTTTTTGGGATAGTTAGGTTTTCATACATAAGAAAACTCAGAAACAGATCTTTGTATTCATTAATTCAAATAATATAAGTCATCAAATCGCTCGTACGTGACGTTCTAAACATATGACAATTTCTTGTTAGTCCATATTATTTTGAAAAATTCAAATTTTCCCTTTTATTCAATTAAATTAAAACGAGGATTTTATTTACCAAAAGAAAAACGAGGATTTTAATGTTCTAAAAAATAATATAAATGAATTATAGTTACATGTGTATTAAACTATTAATCAATAAGTAAAAACAATGTGATCAATTATTTTGTTTAAGTTATGTATTGGAATGTTTATATACAAGTTTCGAAAATTTTGAGTACCTTTTATTTAAATTTAAATGTTGATGGTGATTATTTTAAAATTAGATAAATCCAGGTACTGTGTGTACATTTTATTTTTATTTTTATGTATTCTTTGGCACACTTGTATTAATTTCGACTGTAAGATTTCTTAAATGGAGAATTAATTATTTACCTCCCAATTGATAAAGACTGAGATTTTAAAATAAGCTAATTTAAATAATTAAGTATAATAAATTTTATATATATAAATATATATAAACCTGATACTCGGCAAATAGCTAAGTCCTTTAAACATGCTGATGGAGATTCAATTTTTATCTGTGTATATAAAAAAAGTTTTGTTGAGAGAAACTATACCCACTTCGATAATCTTGAGGTCTCGAGAGAAATTAACTTTTGACTATAGGCCAGGAATATCTTTGAAAAAAAAAAAAAAAACCCCTAAGTTGCACTAATCTATGTGCGTTCGGTTCAACTTCAATATCATTGCGTAAATATCGTACGGATCAAGTAGTGTAAAAATAATATTTTTTTATACATATGTAAAAATAATTGTAACTCTAACATAGAAATTATCAACTTTAATTGACGATGGAATTAATTATTATCACAACAAAGAAAAGAAATACACAGCTCAAAAGGTGTAATGCGTGGCATTCATTGCCGATTGCAAGGAATTATAGGCCGGCACGACAAGTCAAAAAAAAAAATGAAATGGTGGAAAACAATAAGATGAACTCATAAAACAAAATAACCTAAAAATATCATATAACTAATTTTTTTTTAGAGAAAAATTACTTTTATACAACATAAGAGTATTTTTAACTTTTATTTTCAATAGACTTATCGAAAATCATGACACGTTTTTTTTTTTTAAATAACAGGCATCACCACATATATGTTTATAACATGAGAGATCTTCTCTCGTATCACATGAGATTAGATGAATCTATTTTTTTATCCCCAAAAAATTTAGACAAAAGATTTTAAAATTTTATATTTTGAAAATGACATGTTGCTGAATAAAACGGCCCACAACATTCTCAAATCTGAACAACAAAGCAAACAATGGGCCTATCGACCGCCCAATGTTTGTAAAAATACCGCTTAGCTGTCCCCACCACAATTCAAATCACTGCTTCCCCTTTCTTCATCCACCATATTTTTTATATTTTGTTAAGGGAAAATTATATGTCCTTTTAAATGACACAACTTATATTCTTTTGCTCTCATAAGGAGGTGAGACTCACATCTTTATATTTTTTTGTCCTTTCTCTCTCCTTATTTATTTATCTCTTTCTCTCACTTAAAATGACACAACTTTACATCATTTGAAATGATACACACTTTTTCCTTTATTTATTAAATGCCTCTACTTTTCTTGTTACATTAATAAACTATTATCTTTATCCTTTCAAAGCATGATAAGAATGAAAAATTGTTCTGTATGAACTCTCTTAATATGGAACTGATTGGAAAAAAAAAATCCCATTCCCTGAACTAATGAAAATTTTCATTTTTTAATTCAAAATTCAATTCTTCTTTTTCATTATTTATTTTTTCTGTCTTTATTTTTATGATAATCTCTTATATTCAACAATTGTAAGTTCATGGGTGTGGTAATCGAACTGAAAAATCGATAACCAAATTAATCGAAAATTAAAAAACTAAAAATCAAATTTTTTTTTTTTGCATATTTCAATTGGATTGGATCAGTTTTCGGTTTAGTTGGTGAAAACTGATCAATGTAATATATATTTTTTATTTTTGAAAGATGGTGACTTAGAATCTTGTTGTTTTGTAGACTTGAAATCTTGAATATTATTAATAGCAAGCTATCTTGTTTTAGTTTTTTAATTTTTCAAGAGTTTTAAGATTTGTTTTAGTTTGAAGACTTGAATTTTTCAGTGATTTATAACTTTGAATGCTTTATTTTGATATAGCTAGTGATCTGTATAGTTAAAATTTTAAATTTTTCAAAAAATCAAGAAACGATCCTATCCAAACAGAATAAAAATATATTAAATTTTAAAAAATATCGAAACCAAATGAATTATTAAATTATCAAACCAAAAAAATTAGAGATCAAATAATTTTTTTATTTTAAAATTAATTCAATCCAAACTATAAACACGCCTACTTCTAAGCATCAAATTTACTTTGGAATACATACTATGTTTTTTTATTTTTATTTTAAAAAAAGCCCGCGTTCATTGTCATAGCTTTAGCTTAGGAGAGCAACTACAATATATAAAATATTATATAATATATGCATACGTGGCAGGTAGTATAAGTACGATTTTACCCTTCCTCACCCTCTTCCTATATAAACCTCACTCGACGTTCTCTCAGTTTGCGCAACTGATTCCCTGAAACGACGCTTCCGTTGCAAACCGTCTCAACAAACTTCAAAACAAAAACCCCTTTTTCTTTTTCACTTTCTTTACTGTTTCAACAATGGCCATGGCTTCTCCTTCTTCAAGAACCCAAACGTCGCCGCGGTCGTATTCGTCGGCGTTCGCCTCCTCCTCGGCGGCGAATTTCGCTCTCCGGACTTCACCTTTCATGAAACGCGCGGAGAATATTAAACTTCACGGCCATCGTTCGTTGCCGCCGTCTCCGTCCTCCTCCGTCAGATTCTCCGTGGAGCAACGACCGGCGTCCCCCGGGCGGCGGTCGATGACGGTGACGAAGAAACATATGAACAACAACGTGGTGACGTCATCGTCGACGCCGAGTGATCAGAAGAGGACGTGCATGTGTTCCCCAACGACACACCCTGGGTCGTTCCGGTGCGGGTATCACAAACGGATGGCGGAGCAACAGCAGCAGCGGCGGCAGCAAACGGCGTCGTCGAGCGGTAGCAAGCTGAACCTTAGAAGATCGGCGATGAAGAACTCGCTGGTGAGGATCGGAGGAGTGGAGGGTGAGCTTGTGAGGAGGACTTTAACCACCTTGATTAGACCCTCCTCGCACCACCTCTGCCGCCGGGAAACATTTCAGCCGAGGCCGAGCCGGCTCTCCCTCATGTCTAATGCCCAAGACTCTTGAATTCGAACTCTTTCGTTCAATTTTTTTTTTTTTTTTTTTTCTTTTTAGGGTTTGGTTCCCTCAATCAATCTTTATTCTTCTGTGTTGTCAGAATACGTGGCACGCTCTCAACTATCGACTTTGGAGAAAAACTTCAATTGGGTGCTTCTTGTGAAATATATTTTCTTTTTTACTTTATTTCTATTTTTAGTTTAAGGGAGCATTGAAATTTTTATATGATATGATCATGTGAATTTTTGTGTATCTTTCTTCGTTAATAATAATTGGACCTTATTTATTTAATAATAATTGAATCATTATTATTAAATAAATAAGGTCAAATTATTATTGATGAATAAAGAAATATACATCAAAATTTCACAAATCATGTGAAATTTTATCAGAAGACCTCCTCCCGAGAGTGGTATTATAGTTACGGACAGTGGGAACCTTTCAATTTTGGTAGTTGAAAATTATTTGTAAATTTTTGTGAATAATCTCATCTTTCTCTCAACACAAACATCAGTAGTCGTTTCGTTTGCGTGATTTTGTTTATGTCTTTGTTAAGATAGATACCGAAATTCGTTATTCAACATTTATAAAGATTGAGTGTTGAAATTAGATTGAGAATCTGTTCTTGGTTCATATATCGTGTCATTTTCCTTTTTAAGTACAAGAGTAGACATTAAGGGGTGTATTGGATTCAAATATTTCAAACAGTGTTTTAAAATCTCACTCCATTCTCGGGTTGACCCGGGTCAACCCTGATCCCTTCGCTCTGAGGGTTGGGGTCACAAGTTGGACCCTATATGCATATCGACCATTCCGACCCTCAAAACCTGGCCGGATTTCATTGACTCCCGGGTCAGGGGGTCATTGCATATTTTATTTTTAAAAAAAAAAAATCCATGAAACAACATTGTTTTATTAAAAAAAAAAATACTTGCAAACCTAAATCTAATCGTTCTTTTCTCTCCCAGCGACCTAGACATCTTTAATTTTATCAGAGTTCCATCATAGGAGTGGCGAGAGAGAAAATAGAGAGAGGAGAGAAGTAGGGAAAGTTCAGAGAGATGAACATTTGTAATTAATATTGAGAAATGAATAGTTGATTGATTTGTACATTACACTGTGCTCTATATATAGGACTAAGGCCAATACATTGATGACTCAGCAAGTCTAACAAACTCAACAAACTTACAGAGAAATAATCTGGTGTGTGGCATATACAGTGTATCCTACACTACAGCTAATCAGTATCACTAATATTCTCCCTCAAGCTTAGCAGGATTGACGAGGCAATGCTGAGTTCAAGACTCTAAGCTTGTTCCTGAAGTTACAAAAGGACATCAAAGGCAATGCCTTGGTGAAAGAATCAGCTATCTGATCAGTAGCAGGAATATGATTGACCAAGATATCTTTGGCCACAACTTTTTCACGAAGAAAGTGTAGGTCAAGTTCTAGATGCTTTGTTTTGGCATGTAAGATGGGATTATGAGCTATAGCAACAGCACTCAAATTATCACAAAGAACCTGAGGAACAGAAAGTGGCAGATGTAGCTCATGAAAAAGAGACTTAATCCACAAAATTTCTGCACAAACAAGGGCCATGCTTCTGTACTCTGCTTCTGCAGATGATCTGGCTACAATGGATTGCTTCTTTGACCACCATGAAATCATATTGGGACCAAGGAAGATGCAAGCCCCTGAAGTGGACCTTCTATCATCAGGATCCCCACCCCAATCAGCATCACAAAATGCTGTAAGTCCAAAGGAACCAGAAGCTGACTTGACTGTTTGAAAGTGAAGACCATGAGTGAGGGTTCCCTGGAGATATCTCAAGATCCGTTTAACAACTTTCCAATGCTCCAAACACGGTTGGCTCATAAATTGACAGACTTTATTAACAACAAAGGATATATCTGACCTGGTAATTGTAGCATACTGCAAGGCACCTACAACAGATCTGTAGAGGTGTGGATCTTCAAAATGATTGCTGCCAATTTTGGATAATTTGCAGCTAGAAGGCATGGGAGTTGAGATGGGCTTAGCATCAGACATATTAACTCGGGAGAGCAGATCCCTTATATATTTAGACTGATTGAGAGAGAGAACCAGAAGAATCCCTCTTGACTTCAATGCCAAGGAAATAGTCTAATTCTCCTAGATCCTTTAAGGCAAATGTGGAGTTAAGCTAAGAAATAATTTGCTGCATGAAGGCAGAATTGTTCCCTGTGACAATTATGTCATCCACATAGACAAGCATGTATACTCTCATTGTACCAGTCTTGTAAATGAATAATGAAGGATCACACTTACTTGCACAAAAATCCAAGAGACATAACCGAGCCTTTGAGTTTATCAAACCAAGCTCTAGGGGCCTGTTTAAGGTCATACAAAGACTTGTGAAGTCTACAAACCAGTGATTTATCTTCAGTTTCAAAACCAGGAGGCTGAACCATATACACTTATTCTTCAAGGACTCCATTGAGAAAAGCATTGTTTACATCCAATTGTCTTAGAGGCCAGCCATAGGTGAGGGCAATAGAAAGGACAGCTCTAACAGTAACTGGTTTGACAACCGGAGAAAAAGTCTCATTGTAATCAAACCCTGGTCTTTGATGGAACCCTTTTGCCACTAGTCTTGCCTTGTATCTGTTCACACTGCCATCAGGATTTTCTTTAATCTTGAACACCCATTTACACCTAATAGCCTTTCTATCATGAGGTAAAGGAACAAGAGACCAAGTGTTATTATGTTGTAAAGCAGAATATTCCAATTGCATGGCTTGGTGCCAGCATGAGCTAGTTAGGGCCTGTTTAACAGATGTGGGTTCAGCATATGTAAGCAAAGCAGTATTTCTGGCCAGTGTTTTTGATCTGGTATTGATAGAATGTGCAGAAGAAGGTGAGCTTAGTGAACCAGAAGGTACATATTCAGAATATGATGATTCTGGACTCGAGAGTGAGTTGGAGTTATTTGAAGAGGAGCTACTAGGAGTAGGAGAAATACTGGACTCAGTGTGATGAGAAAGTTCAGTGTGGGATGACTCATGAGGAGATAAGACAGGTGAAGTGGAAGGACTTGAAGTTGGGGAATTGGACTGGACACTATTGTGGGCAGATGCTGAACTGACAGAAGCTGATGTACTGGTGTGAGGAGAATAGGTGTCGGTTGGTGTAGGATGAATAGGATGAGGTAGAATATTTAATGGAAAAGAAGTAGAAGCAGGTGACTGTGAAGGTGGGGTAGTGTTGTGCCATTCCTTATAGGGAAAACGAAACTCATGAAATAATACATCCTTGGATATAAAGATTCTGTCTTCTGGGCTTAAACAGATATATCCCTTGTGAATGGGTGAGTAACCAACAAAGATGCACTCTTTTGATCGAAATTCCAACTTGTGTTTGTTGTAAGGTCTAAGGAAAGGGAAACATGCACACCCAAAAATTTTAAGAAACTTGTAATCTGGTTGTTGTTTGAGCAATCTAGTGTATGGGATATCAAAATTAATAGCAGATGAAGGGAGTCTGTTTATGAGATAACATGCAGTTGTAAAGGCATAGTCCCAATATTTCATTGGGAGTGATGAATGGGCTAGAAGAGCTAAGCCAGTTTCTACAACATGACGATGTTTTCTCTCAACTACACCATTTTGGTGAGAGGTGTGAGGGCAGGTAACTCTATGGGCTATCCCACTCATTTGAAGGTACTGAGTAAAGGCTCTAAACTCACCACCCCAGTCAGTTTGTAAAGCTTTTAAAGGTAGTTGGAATTGGTTGGTTATCATGGCATGAAACTGTTTGAAGATTGTTATTGCATCTGATTTTTGCTTTAATGGATAAAGCCATGTGTATCGAGTACAAGCATCTACAAATGAGATGTAGTAACTATTACCAAGGGTCGATTTTAGAGGTGAGGGTCCCCATAGATCACTATAGACAAGAACAAATGGTTCCTTATATTCAGTATTGGAAGATGTGGAATGCAACCTATGAGCTTTGGCACAACAACAAGGAGCACAGAACTCTGTCATTTTATTATTGAAAGGTATATTACAAGACTTAAGTACATTTTTAAGAGAATCTAAGTGTGGATGCCCCAGACGACAGTGCCACAAAGTGTACAGGGAATCAGTTACAGAATTAGAAGATGTATTACTACTATCAACTACATCAATGCCAGATTTAGAGTGTTGAACACTGAAACCAACAGGTTTACTAGAAATATGGACAAACTTGCTTGTAGATGAGGAACTGGAACAAGGTTTATTTGCAACTGGAATAGAGTCCTTAGCCAACTTGAGATCTGGAAAACGGTACAAACCATCTGCACCAACAGTACCTTGAAGTAGGATTTTATGTGAATCCTGACATTTCACAAAACAAACATCAGAATGAAACTCAAAGAAAACTGAGTTGTCTTTGGAAAATTTACTAACGCTGATGAGATTTTTAGTGATTGAAGGAACTAAAAACAAGTGTTTAAGATGAAGACTGGTGTTAGTATCAAGTGGAGATAAAAAGGAAGAAGAACCGATTGCTGTTATAGGTAAACCTTGTCCATTTCCAATCAGAATATGATCAGTACCACTGAGCTAGTGTCCATGTGAAATATTCTGAGGAGCTCCAGTCACATGGTTTGAAGCACCAGAGTCAGGTAGCCACTCAAGAAGTGGTGCTGAGTTAGAAGAGGACGGTGCTGCCAAGTAAGCATGTGCTTGTGCTTGTGTTTGTGGTCTATTGTACTGGAAGGATCTGACATTCTGTGCTTGAGGTTGTTGATGCACAAAATATTGTGGATAAGAGGAGTTTTGTGGTGGAGGCAGGTTTGGAATGAAGTTCTCTTCAAACCTGTGCCAGCAATCACGTACATCATGACCAAATCGGTAGCATAGTTGGCAGTGGACATTTGTTCTATTGCCACGTCTTCTTCCTCGAGTGAATCTCCCTCCAGATCTTCCTCTGCCTCTGTTCTCACCATTGAAGGTGTTAAAATGCCTAGGAGCTGGATGCTCTGTTCGACTCTGTTTTCTGGTTTCAGAAACAGAGTCATCTTCTTCGTCTGTTTCAACTTTCTGAGGGATCTGGTTGCGTTGTGTGAGATTCACTTATGCTCCTTCAGCCAACAACTGTTCATTCTGCTTGAGTAGGAGT